ACAAATTACAGTTCAAATAGTAATCGTAAATTACGAAATAATTCTCGCGTAACCGCAATAAAAGAAAATAATAATAATTAATGGCCACAGTAGTTAATTGTCGAAATGTCGTCATAACTTTCGAAAGAACCAACACGTGGTCGAAGAATGCGTTATAATTAGAATTATTTGTTTTTGTATTGCTCTGCGTTTTAATTTGAATTTTAACCCGCTGGTTTAAAGATTATATTTGTCTGTTTTAAATAATGATACTAATTACAAATGAAATTGGATTCTGTTTTTTCTGAACACATAGATATATCTTGCTGGCGTGCTTGTGTTGTGCATTATTCGTAATACTGTAAGTGCTATTTGGGTGTAAAATATAAAATAACTAGCAGCGCCCGTGACTTCTACCACTTTGAATACTATGGGCATCAAAATTTATTATTGCAAGCCAACTCAGATTTATTTATCTGGCTTACAAGCATGACAGGACATGTAAGGGACATGTCCTTCATGCTTGGGAATTAATTTCAAAAGATATACCGATACTGTTGGTGACATTTTTGTAGATCGCTTTAAAAGGAATCATTCTATCATACATAATTGTTGGTTCCTCTAACGCCTCGCTACGGACTTCCTCAAAAATTAAGAATTTCCCTGGTTTTTTTACATTCTACGTTTCTTCTTCCCCCTATTGGTCGCAGCGTGATGTAATATACCTATATAGACTAAAACTTTTTTTTTTAATTTGAACCAGTAGCTCCTAAGATTAGCGCGTTAACTTGTAAATACATAAAGTGGTTTAAATTGATTAAGTAAAGTGCTTTTATCAATAAATCGATTAAGCTGATTCGATCTTGTTAGTCAGTTGAAAGGGATATTCTACTATACGTAAGCACTATTGGTGTTGGGGGGGGTTTTTTTTTCTTATTTTGGATGACATGGGGGTAGGGGGGGGTCCAGATGATGATTACGTCATCGATATTAATTTACTTTCCTGAATCAACTTTCTTTATTTTTTAAAATTATAATATAAAAAATACATTTTTAATTGAAAAATGTTTACGTAAGAGCGGGGGAGGGGGTATAAGCTTTGCTTACTTTTGCCGGGACAGGGGGAGGGGGGATAATAATTGTAATAAATCTGCTTACGTAATACTTGAACGGCCCCAAAAATATTCTCAAATTTTTTTTGTTTAAATAAAAAATTTAACGATTTAAAACGCGATATATATTAGTTAAAGTTATTTGAAAATTATTTTAACTACGGCCCGGTCATGGGGAGACTGAAGATGGAGGGTGTCTCTGACGCCAAAGTAACGAAACGTCGGGCCATAGTTAAAATAACTTTAACTAATATATATCCCGTTTTACATCGCAATGTGTTTTATTAAATGTGTAATACTCGCGTAAGCTAAAGACACTAGGTATTTAGTTTTAAGATGTTCAAACATGATTTTTAATAACTACAATTAATAACTTCTGAAAGAAATTGCATCTCCTTTTAGTTATCAGCATTTAAACTAAATACATAATTTTCACCCGTCTTATTCGGACAAAAATAATTCAATTAAGTTTACTCTTGGTGACGAGATTGTTCACAGTCGAAACATCTAGAAATACGAAATAAAGTGATTAAAATACCGAAATTCTTAGCCCCCTGTGGAATTCGAGTCGCGTGACTTGGTGTTAAGCTGATTCTCAGATCCGGTTTCACACTTAAACCCTTGTCAAATTGATTGCTAATAAAACGGTTACGCTGATTACCTTTGCACATTATCGCGATAATGACGAGTTGACTTTTTACCTACTTAAACAAAAAACAAGTGAAGTAACGGATAACGGATAGTTAATTTATGCATGACCAAGATAACCCGTCAAAAATGTTGCAACATACAAGAAAACCTTGTTTTTTAGCTTGTTATGGCAACTGACAACTGTTAAGCTTATAAAAGACTACAGACAGTATTTCATATAAAAGGCTGCTGTAATTAGAAAATAAGTCACTAATTTAAGTTACATTCTTCAAATGTAATCCTCATGTAGATACTGTCTGTAGTTTGTCTGTAATCCTTATCTAATCTAAGACGGCATTAAATATCGCCCGCTATTAGACCGATACCTTAACCCTTCCTTACGGCTTCCAGCGATTCTATTTTTGCAGTTCAGGTTTCGCGAAGACTGATAAAATGCCCTTTACTTTCGACTTTACTATTTGGGAATAATCAAATTGGAATATGTTGTTTGTGTTCTCCTATTAATTGTCAGAAAAGATGTGCTATCTCTTTGACTTGGTGAGGATTTGGTGGGCAATTGACAAATTAAATAGCTATATAGTGTTTTTTTTACTTGGCATTTTTAATAAACAAACACACAATTTGCATGAAATGATATACCCTCACAAACTAATGAACCTTAAATCCACTCAGAGAGAACCACTATTTCATGCTAAAATTAATAAGAATTCTAAAAAAGAAAGTTACGTTTATGCGCAGATTAAAATGTTTAATTTGACATTTACATAAGGATGGGATGTTGACAATAGAAGTTCCCACACATGTGCGATCGCTGAAAGTGTTATAAACGTCAAGATAATTAACAAAATGGTCATCATAAATGTGATTTAGAATATTGAGGTCCTTTGATCCACATAATTCGCTATTTCTTTACCTCTGTGTCACCTGTGGCAACTTCACTGTATAAAAGCTCATCACTAGTTCTCTATGGTTTGAAATCGGAAATATTTGTTGTGGTCTTTTACCAAATTAGAAAAAATACACTATTCTTGTATAGCCACAGGTGGAGTAAGTCATAAATCATCTTGGCTGCTGGTGCACACCGGATAAAGTCGCGACGTTCCCGATTTAGTAGATACTAATATTGCTTCTTGCGACGGGTTTGTAATTAGTTTTAACAATATATAAATCGTACATATTATAAACAATAATATATTTTTTTTTATATTGCTCTTGATATATTTTAAGTCAAGGCAATGTTGGTTAAAAATCGAAAAAATTTTCGACCAGAGCAGGACTTGAATCGGCATCGTCAGCGTTTCGTGCTTTTCAGCAGCCGTGGTCACGGGGAGACCGAAACGTCGGGCCGAAGTTAAAAAATCATTTTCAAATAAATTTAATTAATATATCGCGTTTTAAACCGTTAAATTGTTTTATTTAAACGAAATGTATTAGTTAAGATATTTACAATTTATATTTACATATTTACTATGGCCCGACCTTTCGGATACTTTGCAGCAGCCGTGGTCTCTGGGAGAGCCCCGACTGACCACGCTAACTGTTAATAAGTTAACTAATACATTTCGCGTTTTAAACCGTTAAAAGTATTTTATTTAAGTTAAAGTCTTGTGACATATCTTATATACAATCAAAGGGTGACCTGCCCGTGGTTTTTATATATCTTTTATTTTCAAATAATTTGCATTACTTTAATATCCTCCTATATATGTTTATTTATTTGTGTTTTTGTTTCCTTTTAAATATTGATTCTAGTCCTCTTACCTCTGTGTACCTGACTTAAAATACGAAATCTTAACAATAATCTCCATATAGGATAGCTAAGAAATTGTGTTTCAAAAGTCTACCACAGACCGGAGACAGGACAGTGCAGCACAATTAACAAGTATGCGGTCTTCGACCTCATTAGCCCTAGATCTGGATGTACTTACGGGCCATTGTGATGGCAGGAAGTCGCTATTTTAGTTCACCTACACTGTATCGTTTTGTGAAATCATGCATATTGAGTTTAGGGGACGATTCTCAACTAGCTATTTATGCTAAGTTGAACGAAGTGATATATATATATATATATATATATATATATATATATATATATATATCGTGTTTAAAACCGTTAAAGTGTTTTATTTAAATATGTACTACTCGCGTAAACTACAGATTTGTTCCCTTCCTTACCGAAGTAATAAGCATTCTTATCCGAGTTTAAACCCTATTGTGTTTCATGCCTATTACATATATCCTAAATTAAAGGATAACGTAAATAGATGACCATTTTGGTTTTATTTTTAATATTAAAGCTAAAATAGGTCGACGGACAATCTTGCTTAGATGTTATATAGATGGACACTTATCATCGAGTGAACCACACGAATGTCTGTCCTCTGTCATTAAAGAAATAGGTACCTAAGAATGTTGTTGTTTCAATTTTTAATTATGTACATAATATTGTCTTATGAACAAACTTGCTATTTTTAATTAACATATCTTTTCATCTCACTAGAATATTTAAACATAAAATACAAACAAAAATTCTAAAAACAGCATGGAATGCTGTTGGCCGCTGGTTCGACTCTTGCCTTGCATTGCTTACTGACTATTACCCACGATGTCGGTCGCGTCCCTTTCCGTCGTTCTTGCAAGTTAATCTTAAAATATAGATATACTAGCTGTGCCCGCGACTTCGCCCGCATGGAATAGTGACTTGTGGTAGAATTTTTAATTGTTTAGGCTGTTTATTAATTTATGTAAGGGCGCATTTAGGGCAGCCAATCTATGTTGTAAGTGCTACTTTGCCGCAACACTCTCACTTCGCATCACTTCTACTCTAACTCCCACTCTCATTTCTACACTCACTCTCACTCCCATTCCCATTCCCAAAAAGCCAAAAAAAAAAGTTTCATTGTTCTAGCTTAGAAAACGACGAATTTTCATACAAACTTTCACCCCCCCTTATTAACCCCTTACAACCCTCTTTTCGCAATAACAAAGTAGCCTTTGTTCTTTCTCAGGGTCTAGACCATCTGTGTAGCAAATTTAATTCAAATCCGTTCCGTAGTTTTGGCGTGAAAGAGTAACAGACAGACAGAGTCACTTTCGCATTTATAATATTAGTAAGGATAGCGTCGCGGACGTTTTTTAGATCATTTAAATGAGGATTAATTGATTTTTTGATATCCTGATTTTTTGATATCCTTTGAGGTACTATGTGCATAAACATGTGAACATAATAAATATTCAATTGTGGTTCGTTTATTTCAGAGTGGCGACCAACACTCCGCATCTGGTGAGCCTCGGTACCGGTAGGCTTAGTACCGCGGTCACTTTACACCCCATAAAACAAGGTAATAGTTTGTCTAGTACAATATACAAGTTCGTTATATATTTGGCAGCCTCGTTAGTCATGGTAGCAAAGTATGGCTCCCACAGGCTTTAACATTTTCCTAATCGATTTATAATTTTTCCGAAAATTGTTGGACTTTGTGTGGAAACCATGATGTTGAATGGGTGATCGAAATTCCGGCCGCGTCACGAACAACGAAGCTGTTAAATTGAATCGCGTTTCAGTTTCAGTCTGTTGATTTCCGAATAACTAAAGCCAAAATAGGTCGACAACACATAATGTTTAGATGTTATATGGCTGGCGTATTTCACCTACCATCGAGTAAGCCCTATGCTTTTCCGTAAAAAAAAAACACACGATCATATTTTCATTTAACCACATAGCATTCAGTTAAGATCACTTAGTCTATTGCAAAAATGGAATAAGTGCATAAAATAATTAATTGCATATATATTAATTTATGTATGAATTCAATTACATATATGCAACTTACTTAATACGAAACTTAAACGTTACGTGGACGTGTACGGAACAAGGGTCACTGTCACAAAATGACAGGTTTTTCCTTTTCCTTCATTTTGTTTTCCATAGTGTGGCGGTCTGAATCGTCCATCACGGGCGAGTACTTACGAAAAGAATAACCGACAAATTTCTTACAATTTGCATTAAAAGCTTATCAAAAAAACATCTTTTATCATATAACATGTAGGTTTCTGAATACATTTATGAACATCTGAAACTTGGATTATAATCAAGCCTAAAGTTTAAATGATGAAGGCTTTCTTAGAAATACATCAAGTTATCTTTTCAAATTCCAGGTCGCGTGACCATCGGTTCCGACCCCACTTGCGACATATATGTCGTCGGCACTGGTGTTGCCAGTGTTCATTGTCGGGTGGAGAACTCGCACGGTGTGGTAACACTGTACCCGGTTAGTGGCAGTACGTTATTGGATGGATTGTCAGTTGATAAACCGACGAGACTGTCACAGGGTGAGTTTAAATCAAACAATATAATAACTAAACAAATTAAGACGTCCGTCATAGTTTTTAGATAACTGTAAAGCCCCAAAACAACACTACCAACTTTAAAACGTTTGTTACAAATTATTTTAATTACACGAAGGCTTAAGAAATTTACAAGTGTCTGTAGTGTGTGCCAGTAATCAATTTAAATAAAACACTTTAACATTAACAATTTTTCATCCGAAATGTCGGGCCGTAGTAAAAAATAATTTGTATTTTATTATGCTCCATTTACAAGTATTTATATTTAATTTCAGGGAGCATGTTAACCATAGGAAGATCGAATTATCTCCGTTTCAACCACCCGGAGGAAGCCAAGCTGATGAAGTCAGTCCTACCCTCAGGGCATGTTTCTATGGCGCCTATACAGTTTCAGCCCAATGAGCAGTGTATTTCACCAGGTAATCACTAGTATTATCAGATATGAATACAAAGATTAGTGTCGTTTAACTTTCAAATAGTGTGTGTGTGAATGAGAAAAATATTGTGTACCGCACACATTCCAGTCACCTGGGACTCCAGATTTTTTTGATTCATTATAATACTTTTTGGCAATCCATTTCCTTTAACATTTACTTTAAATATCTCTGTAAAATTTTTAAAACATACCTTTCAGGATACATCAACCACACCGAAGCGAACCAATGTTACCAGAACACCAATCACAAAATATACAAAGATAACTCGCTAATGCAGCTCGACCAAGAACTAGACATGACTCTAAAGGAAATGTCCAGAAAGAAACCGCCCACCGTCCCCAGAAAACCTTACAGAGACGACACGTCTGATTCGGAACAAGAGGCGAGACCAAAAATAGGCAGCATCATGGCCAAAGTTTCCAAATTCGAATACTACGCGAAGCAACAGAAGATTGGTCGGAGTCAATTCTACACGAGCCACGAAAACGAAATATCACCGAAGGTATTCAGTGCAAACTCGTTAACAGTTAACACACCGGCCAAGGATGTCCTAGGAAACCGGAATATACCCAACTACATGAATAAGATAAAGCAAGAACCAAAAATGATCGTGTTAAGCGAGAACAACAGTCTGGACCCAAAGAATTGTTCTTACGCAAATGTCGCTGTACGAAAGGCAAAGATCGATGACATTGTCAGAAATTTTGATGATACCAAATTGAAAAAGGTGAATAACGATCAGCAAAGCCGACCGGACAACCATATTTATGGCAAAATAAATGTGGACAGACGAGATGTAGATAAGGAGATCCACAATTCCTGTAAGAGTACCCAAGAATTCAAAAGTCCACAGGATCCGGTCAAGAACCAGGTCTACAACAATCATCAGGGCGCATACAAAAGTTACCAAGATTCATTTATTACTCAAGATTCGTATAAAAGTCCTCACAGTTCTCATAGATGTCAAGACCAGGATAAGAGTCCAACAGAAACATATACAAAAAATGTGACCACCTTAGATGTATCTGACTTACACCAGTCTAGAAGTGACTACGGTCGTTTGTGCGATGTAAAACCTTCGAGTACGTTTGATAGAAACCCGCAGTATTCTCCTGTTTATAGTAATTATGGATATGAGAGGAGTTTTGAAGCGGAGAGCAAGAGGAAGCAGGTATGTTTATTTTTTAATTTCCTACGTAAAAATTAATGACACACACAAAACGGCGTAACAGATTTGTATGAAATTTTGTCTAATACAGAATATTTAATTAAACCACTTTAACGGTTTAAAACGCGATATATTTTAGTTGAACTTTATTGAGAATTATTTTAACTACGCCCCGACGTTTCGGATGCTTTGCAGCAGCCGTGGTCACGGGGAGACTACAACAACAAATACGTCGCGTTTTAAACCGTTTATGTGTTTTATTTGAATGTGTACTACTCGCGTAAACTACAGACAGTATTTAATATAGAATAGATTTTATAAATTCGTATTTACCGTTAGATCTTTAGCACACACCATGTAGGTTTTTTGGTATCTAAATACTGTCGAATAAATTATTCTAGAAAAATTAAAACATGGTGAACTTAAAAAACTTTTGGAACGTCCGATAAAAGGTTGTGAATATTACAGCAACTTGGAAAAAATAAATGCTAATTGTAAACATTTTTAAAACTGATAAGGCAATGTTTGTAAATAGTAAGCCTTGTCTGGCATTTTTATTAATATAAGTCATATAAATATAATATGTAGACTCCGCGCACTACACCTGCCTTATAAGATTTTGAATTTAAATAATCATAATGATAAGATGTAATTAAAATCAACTGCGGCAATGTCTCGAAGGAAACAATAGTGGTTATCTGATAAAATATTTCTTCGATAAGACTCGGTATCATTTCTTTGCGCTGTACTACATAAAACATACGCTTTTCTATTTTTAATAAGTGTTAAAATAGTGAAAGATTGATTAAATCAAAACAAGAAAGTGAAATAAACTTTATTCGACTTACCAATAAAATTATTATATTACTCTACATATTCTTGTGACGATAATATCAAACCTGTAAAAGTCATGTGTTGATTAATCAAAGAAATCTTTTAGTCGTTTATAAATTATATATTCGTGTGCTTTGAAAATTGTGAATAACCAATTGGTAATGCAAATTTCTATAAATACATATATTCATTCAATATAATCAAAATTTTATTTCAATTTAATAAGATTTTAATTTGATATTAAGTCACAGATATAGCATAAAATTGATATATAACACACGTTAAAACGGAATAGCTAAAATTTTGATTCAACGTAAGAAGTTAAGTGCTAAAATGACTGTTAAAAGGAAATCTAAACGAACGAGAGTCAGTCTAGTAAAACTATGCTTAGAGAATCTAAGGAAGAATACTTCACTTTTGCGAAAGCTAAAAACATCGATCGAAGAGAAATGTCACGATAAGACTTACGAAAAAATTATCGATATAACGAATTCGGTGAACGACAAACTAGAAGTAGTTCATAAATTGCGAAATGATATAAAAATATATAGAACGATAAACTCCATTTTAACTAACCACTATATCAAGGAGACGAGAGACCACGAAAACACGATTGACGCGAAAATAATTAACCTCGAAAAACAAATGAAAGAATCGTACGACGACTTGAAAAGGGAATTAGTTAAGATGGCCGACAGTGTTGCCAGTATCAGAAATCAAAATATATCCGCGCCGATACAGAATAGCAGCGTGATAATGGTTGGGAATGATCTCAATTATAAACAAATTAATGAGATACAAGCTAAGAGCGAGATTTACAATACGGTTATTAGGAAAATTGATAAGCTGTTTTATGGTATGGTGAGTTTCTATAGATACGTACATAACTATAAAAGAAACTAAACACTACGTCCAAAAACCTTAAACACTTTAGAGGCTAGAGGCTAAATACCTAGAATGTTTTTGACACATAAATGTACTAAACCTTTTTTTCTCAGGCGTACCAAGAGAGATTAAAAGAAGAAGAACAAAAAGAGGCTGAAACAGCGCGTCTAGAAGAAATTCTCAACATGTGTGCCGAATATGAGAAACAAATAACTTCAGGTGCAAACACATTAATTCATTCGAACATCCCTCTTCCCCGAGGGGCATGGGGCGAACTCATTTCTGCGTCCATTTCACTGATCGGTTTTTATTTTCCACCAAGTCTTCGATCAGACTTCTGTGCCCTGCCCGTCCGAAACAATCGATTGTTTCCCAGGGTTTCGAAACCACAACCTCTCGAGCTTAAAGCAATGCTAGGCAACGCGTTCAACCATTGTGTTATTATTTACATAATATTTATTTTTTGCTCATACGACTATATTGTGATATTTTTTAATGAAATTACAATAGGCTTATTTTATAGCAATGTTTAGTCTTATAAAGATTTACTTAAATTTACTATCATATTTGCTCTTTGCTTCACTCTAAAAAAATCGTAAATACCACACATAAAAATAATTTTCCCAAATCTAGTTTGATAAAGACTATCTTAATACCCTAAATAGTATAATCTAGGGGAATTTTATCTGTGACACTAATCTTAATGAAATTAAATGTTAGGTCGTTTTTTAATCCATCCATTCTGCTTTGTGTAATTCTCAAAGATATTAATTTTTTAATGGCTTAAAAAATATAGGTCTTGCATTTTTTAACATCTATTAGTAGTCGGTTAATTGTATTAATTTTTTATAGGTATACCAATAACACCAACGGAAAAACGATCTCACAACAAAATCATCACAAACGGATCTTTACCTCGTAGTGTTGTTGTGAACAATCCTAATTTTGTGCAAACCAGCGACGGTTATTATAAGTAACTATTTTGCTTCGCAAACTTAAAATTTCTACCTTTATATATAAATAAATGCCTATTATTGTCAAACATACTGTAAATATTAACAACTTTTTTTTCAGGTTTGATACTAGTCATAACAGAAATAATGTAATGAGTCAATCCCTTCCGATACAAAGAAACCTCTCCAGCTACGAGAATTTTACGTCGCAGCCCGTTGAGCCTGCTACCCCTGAAATAACAATTCACGAAAATAACTACGAGAACGTCGGCCGTATGGACGAAATAGGAATTCCCGTGTTTGATGATGTACAAAGAAATCTATCTAGTCCCTTATTAATAAGAAAAATGAATCAAAATGGCCCAGTACTTAACTCGCCAATAGGAAGTCCATACGAAAACGTTTACTTTAAAAATAACTTGGGCTTTAAACCAAAATCACCTAACACGCAAAGCCCGAGAACAAGAATTAAAACTACATTTGCTCATAAAAACCTGCCGTCGCCACAGTATTTTATTTTTCCTACACCGCCTCCCAAGAATTCTAACCCACTTGAAAATCAAATACAGAGTGAAGCCCTTAATATGCAAGTACATTGTGAAAATATTCAAAACGAAGAAGTCCTAAATAAAGAAAATCAAAACGGAGAAAGAAATTTTACTGGAATCGAGAAACAACTAAGTTTAGAAGAAGAAATACCTATGATTGACGACTCTGATATTACAAATGATATTGAATTTAGATACTCCAAAATTATAAAAGACACAGAAGAAAAACCATTAACGAAAAATAAAAGTTTCGACGATGTTAAAAAAGAACTAATGGCTGATATTCCTGAATTAGAACAATTTGAGAATGAATTAAAAAATAATAGAGAAAATGCTATTAGAAATATTACTGAAGAAGTTAAGAAAATGGATTTAGAAGCCGATTCCATAGACAGTATTTTAGATGATAATGTGGAAGAACTGAAATCTAAATCTGAACATTTAAAGGAGGAAAGGAAGAAGTTGGTTGCCGAAATTCATGATATTAAATGTAAAATGACAGAAATTAGATCTCAGGAAGACGACATACTAAGAGAGGTGAGATTTTTTGTTTGAGTATTAATAAAAAAGTAACACAGTACAATTGTAATGTTAAATTAAATTTTCGATGTTTTTTCTTCAGTTGGAAATGGAGAAGGCTTTAATCAAAGGAGAATATGATTCCGAAATAGCAATACTTAATATTGAGCAGAAGAAAAAGGCCAACTTAAATGAACAAGTGAGACAAGTAGAGGAGGAAATCAAACAAATGAAAGACAGACAAGAAACGCGACAAAATGAGATGAGAGATAGAGTGGAAATCGCTACTCTTAAAGTTGAAAGGTCTGATTTTAGTAATACTTTAATTTTTAAAAAAATATTTTAATGTTTATGAATTAATCCATACGTAGAACAGCTTATGTTACGGATAGTTTATTTTAGATAATGAGGTTTAATAATTGTAAAAATTACTGGTACTAGTAAGCAAAAAATTTTTTGATAAATAGCGCGTTTAACCAATAATGTTTGACGTATGTTGCACAATTCAGTACCGAATATGATAACTATATATCGCCTAGACTGGAGTTTATTATAAGTTTAATAAATATAAAAGGCGGTTTTATTGCTTTATTTAGTGTGAATACATAAAAGACTGCTGTTTTTCTTTTGTCACTTTTTTTATTTACTACGTAAGGCCTCGAGTCGGGTCACGTCCTATCTTGTCAATTTTGTCGATCTATAGTAGATTTTAATTCAAATTCAAATTAAACTATTTACTTTTACAGGATAGAAAAGGATTTAAAAGAAAGTGCAGGCACCTTTGAAGAGTTACAGAATGCTCAAGATATTTTAGATAACGAATCAAAGATTTTCGAAGATTTAGAATTTCAACACTTAGAAGAGGAATCAGAATTGTAAGTTTGTAACTGTAAATTTATAATGTATTTTAAAATCATACAGGAAAATATTTAAATATTCTCTTACAGGCTATCCAACAAAGAAGACTTGCAAAATGAATTAATACTTCTTAATAAAAAGATTGAAGCTCAGAAAACCAGAATACTAACTCTGAAATCAGAAGCTAACAACAATCTAACATCAGCACTCGAAGAAACAAAGATACTACAAGCAGAATACGTGAGATTGCTAAATCAAGTCGAGGAGCTCACTATTCAAGTCCAAAGTATTGAAAAGGAATTGAAACCTATAGTAGCTAAATTAAATTTCATTGAAAGAACCCAGTCTCCCGACAGTGCCTTCTACACTGACCAAACAAGAGCGAAATCTGGTGAATTTGGCTACTCCCCCAGTTCCGATAGTGACGACAATGACGTCAGCAAAATATCAAACTTTGAAGACCACACAAAACAACTGACAGACAAATTTAACTCTATTGATCAAATGTCACAATCAATGATAGTCGATATCGAGAGAAGAGTAACTGATATTGATCCAATAGATATGGATAAATACGAGAGTCCTTCTAAGTCTTCCACTTCTAAAGAGAAGAAAGGATTTTGGGAGCGCAACTTCGATTCTCTCAAACGAAAGAACAGTAAGAAAAAAGACAAGGTTGACATTATGTCACAGAGTTTGAACGAAAATATGTTTTATAACGACAATATTGAAGGCGACACTCTTGACAAGTTCAACAGTTTACGACATTCCAAAAAGAATAAGAAAGATAGTGGACCTGTAAAAAGCAATTCGTCTTCTAAAATACCGACTTTTGCGGCTTTGGGAAAGATCATAAAAAAAGATTCATTAAAGAGAAAAGATTCTACCAAGAAAGATAATGACGAAAACGACGGTAAAAACCGCTATGTCAAACATCTCAAACCGCAAACAGACAACAAATATGTCAAAGCTAAATCTCTTTCACCTGACAAGAACAAAGAAGAGTCTATTAAAGAAGAAAACGAAGATGAAATTAGACATAACACTCTGGATTTCAGAAAGATGGAAAAAGAAAAAATTCTGCATAGGAAGAGTTGCGGGGATGAACCGAATTTGAGGAGCGATTTTCAAAAGATTACCGATTCGGGAAAAATTCCTTCTCAAGACGATATTGATAGAATCTCTAAAGTTACAATGGATGCACCTATATTATCCAGTGATACGGATATGAATTCTCTTGGTAAAAAGACACTGGATAGTTTAATGGAAATTGAAAGGAAAAGGATCGAAATGTTGGAGGAACAAGGTAAGTGATGGCATAATAGTCTTATAAATAACGCGCTATTATATCGTTAAACCTTCAATTTTTTAAAGTAATTATATCTAGCGTTTTTGAACCTAGATCAAGCTAATTCTCAAACTCTTTTGCACCATTTCAGCCGTATGAATCATATATTTGATTTATTTTTATGTTGTTTTTTTTTAAATAAAACACTTTAACTGTTTAAAACGCGATATATTAGTTAAACTTATTTGAAAATGATTTTTAACTTCGGCGCTTGTTTTTTGTTCGTGCAATGTGTTTTTATTATTGTTATATAGTAAGTAGTAGTAGTCTTCTTACAAGAAACCTAATGTGTCTATTATACATCTCTAACTAAGTATTTTCCCAGGTTGTCAAGTAATAGAAAACGAACGAGAAAAAATCGAAGCACTAAAACGTAGAGCGCAAGACGAAACGAAAAAGCTCTGGCACGAGAGGAATAGTGCTAAGACGCCCGACAGGGACCCCTTCCAAACGTCAAGCTGCCCGCCAAACGAAACTGACAGATGTCAGCTGTCAATTGAGTTTGACAGTTCGCGGGATGAAAGCAAATACTACGGGAGCGTTCATGAAGACATGTCTACAGATGATGCGCTAAATGTTACTGGATCAACTATTTTTGAGGAAAGGTAGGTGCTATAAAACCTTTTAAACTGCATTAAAGAATATATTTATAAATATAATGTTAAATAGTATTCTATCAGACTTCTTAATTGACATGTTTTCCTGGTGTCTAAAGTCATTCAAATTTAAAGTTTTGGTAAAGACACAATGCGAGTAGCCCGTGAAGAGTTTCGTCTCCTGTGAGACGACTAGTTATAAATTTTTCTCTTTATGTAATAAAAAAGTTACAATAATCAATATTGCAATAACAAACTAGGCTAAGTTTTGACACGCCAGTTTGATAAGATAACGACTATCAGTCTTTTCGCGAAATTGTAACCGTTTACACGTGTATACTAAAAACAGCTAAATAATATGTGACTTTAAATTTCCTAAAATAATTAATATAAGTGTAGTATGAGTTTGGAAAATTAGCCAAAGAGGGTATTCTAAAGGTTTGTGAGGCAGTTGAAATTCCAAAACAATGTTATTCTTGCCATTTCTTTTTATTCAAGTACATTGACCTAAAAAATTCGCATTTCCTTGTCTATATAAGATTATAGTCGCGTACAAAGGCTGGTATTCACTAATTTTTTATTACTGTTTAATTACAGTTGATGGCTATAATAATTACGTCCTAAACTAGTACAGCTCTTAGTAAACAATGTTGTAACTTTAAATTACAATTAATTATTAATTATCAAGTAAAAATACTATTATTGAAAAATATCATTACTCTCATTGTCTCTGTTATTATTATTTATGTTAAACATTTCGATACAATAAAAATATATTGCATTATTATAATAGTATCGACCCCGGCTAATGGTAAAAAGGGCGTTAAGTGTGATCGACTCAGGCTTTGAATCGCAGATAACAAATAATTCTGATTGGACTACTACTACTAACTACTTATCTTTACGGAATTAGAATCTCACTATTTTTATAAAAAAATTATGCCAGTACGTTAGAGATTGTATTGTCGTACATTTATGTTTCAATTGACATAAATCTGTTATTGCATTACTTCTAATCAAAATCGGCCATGGCTTAGGTCAAATGGTGAAGGATTTGCGTTTTACGAAGTATCGTAATTGGGGACTAACGTAAATCGTACGTTTAGCACGTTCATAATTTATACGGGTATCTTCCTAACATATGCGGTTTGAACCCCGGAAAGACATAATAGTTTCTAGGAAAGCGTAAACAATTATTAAGAAAATTAAAAAAACAAACATCCTCGTGGGCTGTAGAGCATCCATATTTCTCTATATTTTTCACTGTTCCATTTTTAAATGCAAGTAGTTCATCTCAGTATTCAGTTAAACCAAAGCAAAGTAGTTTTCCGATTTATACCGTTTTTTTATGTTCGTTCATGCAAAACAGATTTGAACAATTCCCAACCACTCATGTCGGGCCCGATAACATATTTAAAATAAGTCACGTTTGATATACCATATATTTTGCTATGGTATTTTATTCTTTATGTGTCAGGATTACAGTCGACAGTCGTCTGCGAAGAATACTCAATTATAGCCCAGTACAAATATGAAACAATTATGATACATAGATTTAGGTCAACCTTATGAAGCCTTGAATATAGAGTGGTTTTAAACGCGTAAAAATGGAAACTCACAATAACCATTGTCTAAGCGTATTTTGAAGTATACTATAACCTTGAAATGAATATTTAATATTTCGGGTTGTAGTTAAAATAAATTAACTTAGAAATTCAGTTAACTTGAATATCTCGCGTTTTGAACAGCTAGAATAGTTTTATTTAAAATTAATACATTTTGTAAAGGCATATATGTAATGGATGGCAACTAATATTTTTATTATTTGAAGTAATAAGCTGGAACTGCTACAGATGCACATTGGGTAACCTTTTTCTCACTCTATCCATTAAAACTTTTTCGGTATTTTACCACATAGATCTTCCTCTCTATCAATCTTTGTTTTTTGAAAATATACCGTCAAACAATAGTCTCACTAAGGCCGAACACAATTCTGTGACTGTTTCAATTTTCGTTTGCCATGTGCTATATATTATACTGTATCTATGTTACCATTAAATTTGAAAGACCTCAAATGCATTGCGTTGAATACGTTTAACCATTGAGCCACTCAGATGACTAAATTATGATACAGTGAATATTAGAAGAACTAGGGAATCACTCCTGCTTTGTGTATATATACAACATACAATATGTGCTAAATACAACTCTTTAGGACACCCTGTATGCATCGCTGCGTATTACAAACTTCCTCCAAGTGACAATTGAGTTCCGCGATGTTTTCAATCCGTGCATTACGTTCGTAACATTGGGAAAGACCTTGTAATTCTCTAGACAATTTAGAAGGAAACATGTCTATTGTAATTCCTTTCATTGTAAACGCTCAAATAATCAACTCTAATCTATTAGTGCTAGCCAAATATAATCATTAAAAATTAATGACTAAATCGTCAATTTCTCAGTTTAGTTTTCCATAATTTAGTAGTAGTGATGTACTAAATTAACATTTTATTAACGATCTACTAGTGATGTGGTGTCGCAGTGTCATGTTTAGTGTAGCCTAAATTGTAAACAGCTGTTTTATCCTAAATAGACGTCATGCAGGTGGAAAAGAAAAAAGGTTCTTCTTTAATATGTTGGTAAGTCTAAGATCTTTTATGCGTGTGCGCAGTTACTCTATCTTAGTCTTAAAAAAATTACCTTCGACCGTTCCCAATAAGTACTAAAGACATGTATGAAAAAAAGTCACTACAATAATGATACGATAATACCGAAATATTCTCGAATATAATGTGTATAATTTGAAGCAGAGCACATACACATGCTACTGTACCACCCCCCATCACACACGTCTGTTCTCTTACCTTTTCTTTCTCTATTTCTAATCTGTGGTTTACTGTTATAGATGTGCATATTGTGTTTTTTAATTGTAATTAAGTTAAGTTTTCAAGCTGTTGTAAACCCGAATAAATAAATACCAATTTGGCAAGCTATGCTACTCATACCAGCGACAAGCCATTAATGGCAGAAATGGATTCCAGAGGTCAAATTGATGTGTTATAGTGACCCTTTCTAATGACGTCTAATAAAGAGACAGTGTGTAATCTTAGTTTGAGAGTGCCCGTACAACTTTGTTTAAGTGCAAGTCATTTTATGTTGTTTTTTTTTGTTACAGTTCCGGATTCTTGTCGTCGTCAATAGAAGAGGTAAAAATTAAATTAACAATGATATAAATAGAACAATTTTATGTTTCTCTGGGATTTGAACCCAGGACCTCTCGCGCTTACCGCAATGCTAGGCAATACGTTTAACCATTTGGCTAAAGAGGTGGTACATCAATATATATATATATATATATAAAAGCTATTATTGTATATGAATTATTAGAAAGGTTGGTTTAAAAGAAATATGAAATGTGTGTCAATAGTCGATTTTACTTGCGGGCAAATAGTTAGTCGGAGTACTTATTTCTATACTGTCTGTAATTGTATCTACCTATTTCTGTTTTTCTTCGCGATTCGAACCCACCCATAATAATTATAGGTAAAAGTTGCTCCGACACAAATGATAAACTTTAAAAAACAATAGATTATTTTTGTGTGTAATTTTTAACGATGCATATATTTTACGATAATAGTTATAATTTTTTTTACACTTGAATTTCGATACGCAAGCAAAGCCACCTGTGCGGGCTACTCTATGATGATGTCGAAAATAGCGTCATTTAAGGAAATGTCTCGTAAAGGAAATTGTTCCCGCGTCCTGCCACGGGCTGTTATAAATGACGTTCGGATGTGGCCAGAAATGGCTAATTTTGTCCTCATTAAGAAATAGAGCCGTTGAGACGAGATTCATCGATAGAAACTTTTTATTGGTATAAGAGATGACATAAAAATTGAAAAATTCAATATATATTTTTTTAATCAACATAATCTATACTAATATTATAATTGCGAAAGAAACTGTCTATCTGTCCGGCTTTAACTCCGTAACTACTGAACTGATTTAAATGAAATTTGGTACACAGATATTTTAGAGCCTGGAAAGGCTACTTTTTAATGCCAAATAAGGGTTGAACAAGGGGATGAAAGTTAGTATGGAAATTCGTGGTTTTTGAAGCTAGAACAATGAAACTTTCTCTTTTGGTTGTTTGGGAATAGAAATATGAGTAGTGAGGGAGTGGAAGTGGGAGTCAGACAACAACATAGATTGGCTACCTTAAATGCGCCCTAACATAAATTAATAAACAGCCTCAATAATTAAAAATTCTACCCAAGTCATTATTCCACGCGAACGAAGTTGCGGGCACAGCTAGTATTGTAATAAATGCTTTCGTAATTAAAGCTAAACTTGTTCAACAAAAGTACCTAACGCTATCTTATCACTTGTATCGCATATTTGAGTAGGCGCTTTGCTTTATGATAATAATTAACACTTCGACTTGTAACTTACCTGTTAGGCATTTGATAACAGACATTCCGACTAAATGACGTATGTATATACTTAAATACATACATACAATATATGAGGCTGTTAGAGGCAGAGTGGCCTAATAACAAAAAGCATGATTTTCTGTAAGGAGAAAAATAGAAATGCGCAATTAACTTAGGGGAAAATAAATTTCTACCATTGTTTGTGTAAGAATTATGTTAACAATTTTCGGTCACTGTGCTCTTGTTGATTAGCATTTTAACACTATAAAGATATAAGTCAAGTTATAAAATTACAGTTATGCTACACTGCCTCTAGCGGCCTCAGCCTTATTCCTTACAATATCACATACATATCTTCCAAAAATTCCACCAAATTCGGTTAAGCCGTTTACAACCAGCCATACATATACTGACCTATTCTATTTATCTATATCGTATTTGTCGTAACGTGATGTTTTAAATTATATTACAAGGTAAACTTCTTATGGTCTCTTTACCTGCTTTTTTTCTGTTACGTAACGCGTTACGATGTAGAGTTCCGAATTTATTAAGAACCGACTGCGTTATAAAAATAATTATCGCTTAATATCAATTATTAAATAGGGCGTTTTTTTTTTAATTTTTAAAGAGCGGATGTTGCCAATTTTCGACGCATTAATAATCATAACAACAAACCCATTAAAAAGTAAAATGCCCGCGTAAACACGAAAACTGTCTGTCTCTCCCACGCTTTTGGAAAACTAAAATAAACCGATTTAATTTAGCTTCGTTTGTGTCAGTTTGTAGCTGGATCCGTGCCGTGTGGCTTGCGCGTATAGAAACTTTAATTTTGGCGGGAAACGCCATCTTTAGTGATGATTCAAATGTGTTAGTGTCAGTTTAATGAACTTAAAAAAAACATTGTGATTAATTTAATTTTAATAAAACTAAACTTACATGAATTACTTTTTGAATGAAAAGTGAGATTCCATTTTTTCTACGTAAGGGCATAGACAAAAAATAATTTGTACATACTGTCTGTAGTTCACGCGAGTAGTACACATTTAAATGAAACACTTAAACGGTATAAAACGCGATACATATTAGTTAAACTTATTTGAAATTATTTTAACTACGGCGGGCCGTAGTTAATATTTCCCTGTATCCGGGACCACGGCTGCTGGAAAGTATCCGAAACGTCGTTCGAAATATATATCGCGTCTTAAGCCGTTAAAGTGTTTTATTTAAATAATTTGTATATTTTTCATAATTTTAATTTGACGTATAAATAAAAACTATAAAATTGTTTCCAATGTTAATGTTGATATTGTAGATTGAAAAAAAATGTATGATACGAGAAAAAAACACATCGGGACGATAGCAGGGGATTGATAAGCTAACTAGATATTTGCTTGAAATGACATGCTTTATATTTTTATTTAAAAGAGAAGTGTTACAGCCTAGTCTGCCCAACGGTTTGAGATATAACCATCGAGTATATGTTTCTTATCAATCTAAAGTTTTTTGAGGAATTCCAAAAAAATAATGTGTCATCACTTCGCCTTCAATATTCAATTGGGTCAGAAAATCCTAGGTTTAAATAGCTGGACCCCATGTTAGGAACAACGAAATTCTACATGGGTCACGAATTTTCTAGAGGAAGATCCGCTGTTCATTAATTATGGCTTTCCATATTCGGAAATCCACAGCCAGAAACCTTACTTGACGGCTTTTCATCTGCGGACGGTAGTTCGTGGCCCGGACGGAAATTCGATGTTCCTGCCACCCATTTAATCCAAGTTCCAGCCTGAAGTGTCTCAACATATTTCAGAAAAAATGTATTTTTATTAGAAAAATTTGGACCCGTTCGAACCCAAGACCCGTACATTAGTAGCCGGACGTTGCTTCGTGCCCTTCTCTGTCATAAAAAGACCTTCGCAAAACCTACGCTAGAATATTTCTCTTTTGTTTAAAATAAAAGTGCGTCAAACACTCATGACACGCACAAACATATGCATTCACTCTAGTTGATAAACAGCGCATGCGTCATACATTTGTAAAATTTATTTGGCATTCTTTGAAACGAAGCAACCACGCGTATACCACATTGTTGCAATCCTCGGGTTTGTTGTTCGCGTATAAAAACTGTATCGACCTATTTTCGAAAAAATCAGTTTCAATAAACCATATCTTTGTGATAGACAGTTTGTTATGATTGCTCGAATATATCTAGGTTAGATCTTGATGAATCAGAGAAAACGTAGACGAAAACAAGAATTCACGAAGTTTTTCATCATTAAAAAATATATATATCTATCCAAGTAACTCGTTGGCAACAGAATCATATAAAAATAAGATTGCACACAAAATCTAATTACATTCAAAAAATACGACACGAGCGAGACTTGAACCGGCATTCAAAGCGTTCCGTGTTGATGCTCTAACCAATTAAGTGTATCTAACTAACCAATTACCGTATATACCGTTATAGATAGTCCTGTCCGCATCGTATTTTTTTTTTCAATCTGAATAGAATCTTATTTTTAATTAATTTTCTGTCACCATGTGAAAAATATGTATACCTAGGTATGTGTTTAAATATTTTCCCTAACAAAAACTGCGTACATATACCAAACAATTAAGAACGCTGTTAAAAATTATATTCATAGTGTTAACTAGCGTCCGTCTGCTTGTGTATAAAGAAATAACATTAGAATATATCATTTTCCTTAAGATTTATCGAATAAAAATCTACTTCAAGTAAAACACTACTAACGGCTTAAAACGCGAAGTTTATTACTTGACCTTATTTGCTGTCGGATACAAATGCTTAAATTGTTGTATTAAAAAAAGCTCTGTTTCATGTTACCCAATTTGATACGATAGTAGAAAATGTATGCGCTACTAGTATGTGATGTGGAAACATAACGTAACTAATATGAAATAAAGTGTCATATAACGTGTTGAGTACTATCATGAGAAAAAAATGAAAATGAATTTCCCGCCAGCTCACATCACAAAGTATTAAAAACGTAATTCAATTTTGATATAAACGTGAAGTAAATAATTGCCAGACTTTGTTTTATGTGTATAATAAATGGCGAGAGAATTATTTACATATAGTGTGCGAGTTTTTGATGTCTAACTCGCGTTGAAGACTTATCGTTTCGCTTCAAATAAAATCGTAAAAACGCTAGAATAATGTGTGGTCATTATAAGAACCGCGTTTTACATATCAGATTGCGTTTTAATGGATTCTTTTTTATTAGATTACTGGCTATGTCAGCGACTTCGCGTAGAACAGTTTTTTTGGACAGCTAAAGATTTGTTTTCGAAAACCTCTTCATCTTTATAAATTTAAGCTGCCTACGACATCGGTCGCGTCCCGCCGCTCGCGCCCTCTCGTTTGGGTTCCGTCGTACAAGTTAATCTTAAAAGATAGACATATACGGTCTTATTACAAAAAAATACTTAAACCAAAACTGCGGAGTCTTAAACCGTGGTCTAAATAAATCCAATTTCGTACCATAGTTAGTCTAGTACGAACGTTAAACTTCGTTTTGTAATACGGATTTTAAAATAAACCAGGCTTTAGACCGGGTTTGATAGTTAGTCCTTGTGTTGTAACAAGAGTGATAATGTCACAGACATCTCCTGCTCAAAGCACGATGTTTTATAGCCTATAACCTCCTCGATAAATGCTCTAACCAACACAAAACAATTTCAATTCGAACCAGTAGTTCATAATATTAGCGCGTTCAAACAAACAAACAAACACTTCAGCTTTATATATTAAACATTGATAAAAATAATTTTTTCGTTGCGAAAGATGTTATTTTTACTACAAAGATATGTATGCTAAACCTGGCTATTTATGAATCGAGTGAAAACTTTAAAATTAATAAACCGGCAATTTATGGTCTTAGATTCGATTATTACTCGTGACAAAAACAAATCTCAATGTAAAATAGATTTTTTATTATTTTCTAGCTATCATGTGCTATAATTAACGCCTTATAAGAAATTATTTTGTATATGTATATGCCCTTTTCGTCGCCTTCAAGAAAAAGCTGAAAATCTCACTGAAAATTAGGAAAACTTCACAGCTTTCAGACGTCTGGGCTCACTCTGGAATTAAGCTTTTTAAATTTAGAAACGTTTTTCACAATCGAGAAAATTTTAAAATTCCATACCAGCGTGACACATGCGAATGTTTGCACAAGTGTTTCGTCTTTCTCCTTGGCCGTGACTTTGAATTTGACTCGACAAATTGTCTCTTAACCGGGACGTAATTTAAATTTTTATTAATCGAGAAATAAATATTAATTTTAGCGATAAATCATTCATTTAATAGTTCTCAATAGTATTTAATCTCAATCTTAACGGTTTAAAACGCTAATATATTAGTAAAACTTATTTACCATAATATTAACTACGGCCTGACGTGATCACGCGGAGACTAAAGATTGGGGGTGTATCTTATGTCAAGGTAAAAACTGCTACGCTAGCACCATCTGTTCCGTCAAATACCAACTGTATTTGGCGAAACTGACCGGTACTTTTATATATTAAAATAATTTTCAAATTAATTTAAGTAATATATTTCGCGTTTTGAACCGTTAAAATATTTAAGTAAACTACAGACAGTATTACTTATTCTACGAGATAAAAACATACTCACTGCATACAACCGACAGCTAAGTATATGTTGGTAGAACACGTATGTCTTCGTAATAGCAAAGATTGTGAATTCAGAATATTATATTTATTTTTGATGCCTAGGTATCCAAAATCTAACGTCTCCCATTGATTGAAGTATATATAGGTATTATTTCTAAATAATTTTACGTGCTAATCTCAAGCTTATGCCATTTTTATTCCTAGGAGAGTATTTGAAATCAAAAATTAATGAAAATAGCTTTTAATCAAATGCAACATTAATATGTCTATGTGGATAACTCTAATAAAGAGTTCGCAGTGGGGTCTTACTTGTGCGCCAAAACCACTCTGTGTAAGTATGAGAAGTTAAAGAAATTATAATAAAGCAGGTTATATAAGAAACATACTATTAAAAGAAGAATTTAAATAAAACGCGATATATCTTAGTTAAACTTATTTGAAAACTATTTTCACTGCGGCCCGACTTTTCGGATGCTTTGCAGCAACCGTGGTCACAGGGAGACAAAAAGAATTGTCTGCCCAGAAAATTAAACATTTCTGTAAGAATGAAACCGGGTGGAAGGTATTTCGAAATTTTGTCCCGTTTTAGAAACCATAGTCCGGATGAAAAGAATATTAAATTGTAATTCGTGCTCCAAATTCAGTCTGTGAATCTTTGCATGTCCAAAGCCAAAATAGGTCGACCACGCATCGTTCATGTTATAGCTAGAAAACTTCACTTATCAAGTCAACTCCATGCTTGTATGTCCTATGGTATCCAGTACTATTTATCTTAATAGATTCATTGTTTTGTCCGCAGCTTCAAGTACGAAACTCACGCACTGAATCGACAGAAGATGAGAAACATAGCGATGACAGTCGACCGCTCAGTCACGCTTCGGATTTTAGCAGAGATAACATACGTAAGAATTTTAATATTTATTACACTCGATGCACTATATATATTTTTTTTTCAATTTACAATGGATTTTTAATTTGCAAAGCATAAGACATTCACAAGTGTTTAAAAGTTGAAATTACTTTCCGCGAGGGGTGCATCGATAACGTAGAACTCGGTGGCTCATGGCCTGCCCGAATCGTAAAAATTTATTTATTTGCTCATTTTATAATCAGTTTTTAAAATACCTTTCTATTTTATATATATTAATTTTAGGAATCAGTAACAGAGCTGGAGCGAGTTAAGGGAAGCGTTCACTTGACGAAAATGTAAACTAATACTAATTATATTTGTTATGTAATAAAAAATGCAGATAGATAAAAACTTTAATATTTTCACGTGTACACATAATGGCATTATATACATAAAAAAACTTTATCTATTTCGATTTTTACACTGTGCTAGAAGTACGTGTTAGGTTGAAAAAAAGTCGACGATGACGAGTGAGTGGGGCACGGTAGCTCAATTGGTTAGAGCAACAGTTTAAGTCCCGCCCGTGTCGCTTTTTTTTCTCAATCTAAAATCGACTTTTAGACTCATCTACTATCATATAACATCATGTATACTATTTTACAAGTGCGAAAACGTGTGTTACTCCGATATGGGCCACGTGGGGCAGTTTAGTTACATTTCTCTATTTATATCAAAGAGTGATTATATTTGCAGGATTTACATTTGTAATACGGTAATGATTTTCTAGTATCCCTCACCAATGCCCCACGTCGCAGCAGAAGAGGCACTACGAGCGAGTGGCAGAGACCTCTCACACGCTACCTTCCTGTGGACAGGGATGACTTCGACCTGCGACGGCACGTCGAATCGGCTGGTGAGATATTTTTTTAATGGTAGAGGACGATGGTTCTCTTGTTGGTAATTGAAATACCCCCGCCTATATCTAGACAAGGTGCGTTGTCGATGTCGGCAATGGATATTTAAAAATCAACAAATTAAAACCGAAACGCGATTGTCTCTCATCACTGTTTTTCCATCTATGGACGGTGGTTTGTGACCCGGGCAGAATTATAATATTCCTACTCCATTATGTAGATCTAATGTCCAGATTTCCTGGCTTAATTGATAAGAAAAATGTTGGACCCGACCCGTTGATCATTAGCTGTATTACTACCTTTTTACTAACGAGCTGCAAAGCTGATTTTCAGCAAAACCCTACCGGTTATCTGTTAAACAGCGCTCATACAACTACATATTAGATATTTTAATAACAGTGGCTTAACCGGGAATCATCATTGAGTAATGTATTAGTAACTAATTGTATATATTTTTTATATTGTTTTGAGAAACGCTTTTTATATTTGATTTGTGTTTAGGTCATCAAATCGAGTTATGCCCCTACGTGACGATAAACTCGAGCTCCTGTCGAGGGTATCTGCATAAGCTGGGGGCGAAGTTCCACACGTGGTCCAAAAGGTATGTATAAATTAGTTAGTTTGAAAAAATACTACACAATGTTTGAGTCCCAGTTGTGGGAAGTTAAGTTAAGTATTAGTATTCAACTTTTTTAATGTTAATTATACATATTCACATTTTATTCTATCTTTTTTATTTTTATTTACATTTCTTCCTTATATGCAAATAATTATATTCGCAATGGGTGCTATTCTAGGTGGTTCGTCTTCGACCGTGAGTCCAAAACGTTCGTCTACTTTTGGGACAAGACTGAGAAGAAACCGCGCGGGGGGCGCCTATTTTCAGGTAGAAATACTTATCAATTTATCCTATTTTTATCTACGCTATCTATAAAGCCATAACAGTTTTCCTTTGCAATTTAATAAGAATTATCTAGGTATGTATATGCTTGTGACACGATAAGAGTGTATTATTAAAATCGTATGCCAACAAAACATTGGTAATTTACAGATTTTTCGTAAGCCCTATATACTGAAGTCGCAAAAGTTAAAACACCATTTCTCTACTAATGGTGTAAACTGAACATTTGTTTGTTTGTTAAAAAAAGGGAAGGAAACTAAGAAGGTGTTTCAGAAAAAGTAACCTGATCCCGAAAATTACTCCTACACAGACAAAGTCGCGGGCTAGTGCTAATTTTAAATATAGTTGTATGTATTGGTCTTAAACGAAATAAATATTCTTCCTCACCTTTTACAGGTAATAGAGGAAGTTTACCTCGACCACGGGAACACCTCGAAATCGCCGAACCCACAAACTACGTTTATCGTGAAAACCCGTCAGAGACGGTACTACCTCATGGCACCTTCAGGAGAAGCCGCAAGAATATGGATAGACGTCATATTCACCGGAGCCCAGGGGTACACGGAATATCTCGAATGATCGATATTTTATCGACGTTAGCAGAATAAGGTCGTTTTGTGATTTGTTGTCGAAAATTTTTTGAACAAGTTACGTCATTAGGGACGGAGTAAGATTTTTTTCTCGATCTCGAGTCGAGAATTGTACCTACTATTTAAGTAGGCTTTTTATATGAAATCAACTTTGGTTGTTTTTATTATATGCTCTACTTATATATGTTATTGCTGTACTCTGATGTTTTATGAAAAAAGCAATAGATTTATAATTATTCATTAATAATTGCACGGTTTCCTATATTTTTAAGTATAGTGAAAATGATTATATATAAAAAATACTATATTTGAAAATTGTGTGATATTATATTTACACCACATTGAGGTTATTTATCGCATGAATATACATAAACTGTCGCTTCTACATTTCTCAAGCATGTGTGTGAAAATGTGTTTTATATTCCTATTTAAAATGTGATGTATGGTATTAACAGTATTTCTATTTCATATTTAATGTAATGTCATGGAATTGCGTTTAAGATAGACAATAATGCGTGCCAATAAGAAAAAAAAACAATATGGCAGCTATTTTTATACATATTAATCGGTCTCCGTGCCTTTTAAAAGACTGAAAGTTATAAAAAACTATTACCATATAATAAAACGTTTATTATAGTCAATTATTGTACAATATATTTACCATTTATTCATGGGATTTGTACCCAAGCTTTTAAAAAAATGTTACCATGTTTATGAGTGTCTGAGCTGGCAACTCTACATTGCCAATGAAATACGTGATTTTATATTAACTAAAAATAACGCGAGGTAACAGACATTTGTAAATAATAAATAAGTAACAATGAAATCCTCATTAATGTATTATTATTCTTTTTATATAATCTGTCCCTCAGTATAAAACTTAACTGCATTTTAATTTAAGTACAAAACTTAAAGTAATGAATTTACCAGTGTAAAGATTAGTTTTAAACGCTTGGTACACTATTATTTTTTATCCTTTGCTGGTACCAATTATATTAATTTAAGATCACAATGTGTAAACAAAATATGTATGTATTAATAAAGCATTTTAATGATATAAGTGTCTTTTAATACAGATTATATTTTCCTTCTCTGTTAGGAAGAAAACTTTTGTTTTGCTGCTATGATTGGACTAAAACTATTAACTACGTGTAAAAACATATTTCCAATCATGATATCGGTCAGAAACCAAGGCAAAGTTTGGTCTAAAAAGACGATAGTGGTTAATTGAAGTTATTTTAATAGGTACCGAATGTGAGAGTTAAGTACAAATGTATTGACTTAACCAAATACCACACTGCGCTTATAAGCATTTTGAAGTTTATAAAATGTAGGTGTCTAGAGACGCTTGACGGAGACATTAACTTATAGAAATCTGTTGAACTGATATATGCCATAACTGGCAGTATAGTACAATCATAAGAAAATTACACATATTTTAATAATTACAACTGTCAAATAATATAACCCCGCTGTCATTATGACACTTGACAGTAGAAGTCAAAAAGTCTGAACACTATTTTAAAAGTCAAAACATTTCACATTCCTTAATTTAAAAAAAATATTGTGTACCTAATGGACTTTAGTTATTACACATTAGTCATAAGTTAATAAGGAAAATAATAACTTACGTCAAATATTAAGGAATAATTCTACCACGTCGGTGTTGTGTTATTTGTGCGTCAGTTATCAACAATCAGTATCAAGAACAGCAAGCAATAAAGTGGTTGTGCAAGATAACGATGGATCTAATAAAAAAGTTTCGTGAATCTATTAGCCACTGGTACCTAAGGTATCAAGTATCTACTGAGCTGTACATGGTGGAACCCTGGGAAAAAGTTGTGATGCGTATCCTTTTTATTTCATAACTTAATAATTTATTAAAACGTGTCTCCAATTTATTCATTGTAAATTGTCTTCCTGCTTACTAAAACTTCAAATATTCTTATAAATAAAACTGTAAAACATTATTTGTATGCTTTGCACCAAATCAATATGAAATGAAATTAGTTTAACTAATATATATCACGCTTTAAACTGTTTTATTTCAATGTGTCTTACTCTTGTAAACTACAGACAGTATCTAATATTCTTCTTTTTTATTAAAGTTATGTACTTTAATAATAAAATAAATAATTATTATCTTAAGTGATTTAAGTATATTCATTGCCTTCAGCAGTATAATTGACCTCCTTTTCCTTAAAGTGCTAATTGTTGACCAAAAACTGTTTCTTGAGGTAATTAGAATCTATTTCCTAGTAGTGTAGTATAACGAAACCCCAGAAATTTTTCTATACTGTTATTTGCCTGGTATTTAGTGTACGTATTCAATTGTTTATTCTATGAATTACTTGTTAAACAGAATTTCCTTAACTGAACACTCAGATGTGATATTTGCTGTTGTCTTTGGTCTATTCTGGTACTTCAACTATTCTGTTATCGTTCACGCCATTGCACATATCCGAGACTGCCCAAGTCAAGCTTACCAAATGTTATAAACAATAAAAAAATATTTACATATGTTACAACTTAAGTTATATTTCATTAAAATTTTGGGGTAAAACAAACTGTTTATTTAAAAAAAATGTGCATGTGTTTATCAGTTTCCTTTTTTTTCTGTCTCCTTAAATCAAATAAGGCAAGGAAGTTAGATCATTGTAAATAAAATAAATAAGTAAAATAGACGACGAAAACAGAACAATATGTATTACCCCATGGGGAAACTGGATTTTACAAAGATATTCTCTATCTCCAATATGTAATTGAGTTTCCAGACATTTTCCTGTTAAAACGATAGGATAAATAAGGTCTTATTAAATCACGTTTATTTTGAAATATATTTATTACATCTTCAAGTAGCTGACACAGTAACCATTTGTAAAGCGAAACATTTCTGGTACTTTTAAAGACATTTTCTGTAAATGATCTATACCACTCAAGAACATACCTTTAGATATGTCTGTCGAAATAACACTAGGGTCAGCCAACCAAGTTTCAACCTCGTCATTCAATGTAGTTTCAATTTTATACAGAATTTTTGTAAGTACAGTTGAGTGCAATTTAATTTTATCATTTAGAATGGACTCATCACTGTTCCTCAACACTTGTAGTTCTTTATCCATAATCCAAATCAATAAATACTGTTTGTTTGTAGCCGAAAATGAACACTCTAAAACAATCTTATACATTATTGTGTACTGCATCCCAAGATTGAATTCATTCATCATATTTTCTATTGTGTATATAAAATCATCTATGCTTATATTATCTGTACTATTTTTATGAGTAAATGCATAATTTTCTATACTGTTCTGTAATATTTTAACTTCACAGTTGTAAAGCTGAACGGTATCCTTTTTCTTTAAGCCAAGCCAAGCGAGACATCTATTGCAGTGGTATATTTCACGACGGGAATTGAATTTGTTTGTTTTCTCAGATAATGTATTATTGTTAATAACAAAAAATGTTAACCTATATAGAAAATCTAGCTTATTAGGTTTTAACACAACAGGATCAGATGTGTCACCGTGTCCGTGACCATGACAGAACCATTCAGACATATCCAAGTTTGATGTTGGTAACTCTAGAACTCTATCAAATTTCACAATGTTATTTGAGATGATGTTTAAACAGTTTGCACAAGCAATTTTGACATTTTCATTTGATATAAGATTGATTTTCATATTATTCATTTGTTGTTTATTTTCAATTCTGTTTGTTGAGACATATTCAGAATAGAAGCCACCCCCATTCTTTGGTTCAGTCAAAATCCTAAATGATATGGTATTTTTATCAACTTTGAGGCATGACATTGAATTTGGTATAATGTAGCAGAATTCTTCAATTGGAATCTTGCATGACAAATCGCTTTCATCGTCAGAATAATCTGACAAACTTTCTATAGATGAGAGGCTGTCACTCCTTTTGAAGCCGTCATTATAATAATTAAGCACTATACAGTCAGCTTGTATACTAATTTTAAGGTTACAATTCTTGCTAAAATCAATGTTTGTTGTCATGTAAACATTACAACTTCTCAAACGAGATCTGAGTTCCACAAGAATATTTTTCACTAACATTTTCACTTACAAAACTAACTTTACTTGCCAATTAAATCTGCCTTGATTTTCTTTACATAGCCATTTGTTTCATAGATGTTAAACAATGTGTCCATTTCGCGAATGGTGAATGGAAGCGTTACTTTCTTATAATAACTATTCATAATTTCAATATTATTGATAACTGTATCAAGTAAATGAGATTTTTCTGCATAGATACCGGGGGCTTCGTGTTGGAGGAAAGTGAAATGAATGTGTAAATGATAGAATGACGGTTGATAATGTAGATAGATTCTCAGTTGAGTACTTGGAACCTTGTATTTGTCCAAAATAGCTTTCTGGAACAGAGAAAGATCATTAAAATAACTTTAACTCTTTGTTTTCCAAGTACAGCAAAGTATTATAATTTCTCACCGTCCCCTCTCCACGAATCCTCTTCAGCAAGGGCAAATGCTCCTCGTTTAAATCTCTTATAGATTTAATACCCCTCTGTCTCACTATAGCTAGCAAATACAAAGTCTCCTTAGTTAGTCCGTCCCACTTCAGATCAGGTACTAGTACAAAACCCTCAGTGTCGCATGTATTATTGTATACAATTCTATCTTGTTCACTTTTGCCTTCAAGTATGTTGTAAACCCACTGAAAAGTAAATATTGTTAGTCATGTATTTGATAGATGAAGATGACAGAGAATGAGTCCAGATATATTAAAAAATTAAGGAATAACTATTTTTAAAACATATTAGAAGCATTGAAAAGGGGACTTTTCCAAACTTACAAACATTACTAACAAAATGATGTGTCACAAGTCTAAAGGACAAGAAAATTATCAACAGTGTAACCATCTGTATGAGATGTTTAATGTTGGGACATTTAATCTTTAATTTCCTTGCATTAGGCAAACCATATGCTGGTCTGTGCTTCCAATAGAAAAAATGACTAACCTGTAAATTAAATTGTTCTTTTTGCAGATGTGGTAGCGTCAATGTCTCATAACACTCGGGAGTCTCAAGAACTAAATGTACTTCTTGTTTACTGTACTTAGATATATGCTTCTCTGTAGCAGGATATATAATTGTTGTTTTTACAGCTGTAATTTTCATTTTAAAAATATATATTGAAGTATTTGAATCAGTATAACTTTCACATGTTAATACATTAATATGGTTAAGAAAAATTTAAGCAGAGCCAGATCCTATGACAAAACTTATTAACTTTACAAATATATATATACATATGTACAAATATATATATTAAATATCCTACTATCTATACCTATTCCCCATGCTTTTTTAAGACATACTAACTCTACCTTATTATAAAACTAAAACACACGTTAATGACGAGACAAAACATTGGATGTCTATTATCATATTTTTGATATATTATTTTGTTTTACACATGCGTATGCGGATATTGCGTTGCAAAATAATAACATCACGATTTTATTACGTGAATCACTCGGTGAAAGGCAATTTAAGAACAATTTTCCAATTTTGCCGACTATTTTAATTATCTAGATTATTTTTTTTAATTTAGGTGTTAGCTTATCAACAATGAGACTTCGATGTTTGATGCAAATCTGCAATGAGTTGACTCATTGTACGATATAAGACGAAAATAAAAGTTTCAATAAAGAGTACCTTGAAATTTGAAAGTAAATCTTACCATTCACTGAAGAAATTGGGAAACACTCGAAATTGCCGTAAATATCGTTCTGAAAGAAAGTACGAAGCTTTGTCTCTTCCGAGAAGTAGCCCCTGCTGCTCAAATCGTCCTCTTTGAAAGCATTTTTTTCCAAAATCACGATAGCCACACCACTTTTGTCTTTGAAATTGCCAAGGACACTGACTATTTTCTTACTTGAATTGTTGTTCAATATTTTAGTTGGAGTAAAGTCTTTAAGTTCTATTTGATTCTCACTTAAACCGTGTCCATTTTTATCGTCAATTTTTACTTTTTTGGCACACGGCGCCTCTAAATCATTTTGACAATTACCGTCGGACATTTTGTAATTGAGTTGCCATGATGCAACGCGTATCTTATAATATTACCATTAAATATTGCCAGATTAAATTAAAATATATTTATCATAATATTTTAGGAAACAATTTCATTTAATAATAATATCGTAAAAAAATAGGTATTGTATTTTATTTAACGCCTAACATCAAATAATTACGCAGAACTAAACAATCTACAGAATTCAATATTTTTATCAGGCGCAAGCATTTGACAAGAATAGCGACGCACAATCAGTGGCATAGTTATCGTAAAGTGTTGCAGTGCACCAGGGCCCCGGAACTTAAGGGCCCTCTAACCTTTTCTTTGAGAAGATATAAGAAAAACATTATTATAAGCGTACACATACTTTTATATAACTTTATATTTTTAAAAGATTTTTTAACGTTCCTGTTGCTAGAGTAATTATTTTGCGCTATCAAACACCAGAGAAAAAAAGTAGTTACTTAATAATTAATGTGTACACGTTTTGTTATACGTTCAGAGAAAATGGATGGTAGTAACTTTAGATGTTAACAAAGAAATATATCAAAATATCCGATCTAGAAAATTCCAGACGTTCGGTTTATTGACTGTCCATCTTGCAGTATACTGTGATAAATGGATCAGTTAAAGACCAACCACCACACAATACCTCTCATTCTTAAACCATTAGTATTTCAATTACTAAAGCTTACTTATAAGGTTTATTCGTTTTGCTTTCTTTTTTTGTTGTTTAGCTTTAATATGGGCTTAGGTTGCGTGGTAAATAACTTTAATAGGCAAATTCATATCGTTATCAACATTTTGTTAAAATTTTTAAAACAAATATTATAGTTCCTACTTTAACGAAATTCCGAATTACTGATGTTCTTAAATGATAGATGCGGACAACATCATTAAGTTCATTGATGGAATGCGACATACCTCAGCCATATGATATCTAAACGAGATACGCCGTCGACTTATTTTTGGCTTTGGAAATTCGTAAATCCACAGACTGACACCGAAAGCGATTATTATACACGGCTTTCCGAACCAAATTAAAATTAAAATTATTTAATATTTAAATATCTACCAGCCCTTTAATATTCACTGACAAAGTTCAACATGGTTGGAAAAATTATAAGTTGATTAGAAGCACGTTGGACCCGTTGGGACCGAACCCAAGTCCCGTTGATTATTAGCCTTACATAAGTAATAAGACCGTGGACGCCGTCGAATGTCAATAAACCTTAATTGACAGATTGTTATGACATAAAAAAAATATGTTTAAAAGACAAAGCACTATGTCATTTCGTAGGTCTGAGTCCGAATACATTTATTTTAATAATTATCAAATTTATATTGGGACAGCGGTATGCGTAGAGATGCAGCTGCGGACGATTTCTATTCAAATCAAGAAATATCTAATCAACACACTTAAATAATGTAAGCTATAAAAATTCTCGTTCAGTCGTTGACGATGTTTTTTATTATTTAAACATTTCCAATACATGTACTCTTGGGTTTAACCAGTCAATTCAGCGATGTAAAGTGAAATCCCGTTTCCCCGCATGGGGTATGGGGCGAACATATTTCTGTGTCCGTTTCACTAATCAGTTCTTTTACAGGCAAGAAGTTGATCAGACTTATGTCCCCTGTCCGACCGTAACAATTTATTATTTCCCCGGATACGAACCCAGGACTTCTCGCGCTTAACGCAATTCTAGGACGAGTTAAATCATTTAGCTACAGAGGCCGTTCAGTCCTATAGTATCGAAGACTAACTAGCAACAGAAATTACTGCGCATTAAAGTGAAGAAGACCATTGCCCCTTAGAGGAGAACAAGACCGAGCCATTTTCTGAACCAGTAGTTCCTCAGATTAGCGGGTTCAAACAAACGCTTATATAAATAGTATAGATTAACTTCGACTTAGATCGACACAGGATATACGCCGAAGGGTTATGTTTTCTAACTTTTATATTGTCCAAAAGTATTTATTTGTTTGTAATTAACTATTTAATAATGGTGTCCGAAGCCTTCGTAAATATTTATAAAAGGAAATATGTAATAAGCGAGATCCAAAAAGCGTCTCCAGTGACTAATCTAGCACCAGCTCTGCCTCGGCTCCTCAAAGGTGAATCAATTAATTGACAAGATTAAAAAGTTGGGAATACACTGGGCCATTCGAAATTATAGATCAGTAATCAGCGTTGGTTTAAAAACAAGGAGAAAAGAGGGCGTACCTTAGAACTTTTTGGTACAGTTGAAATAACGCTGTCTTCAAGCTATTGGTTAAAAAAGCAATTAAAATACTTCCAAGCAATATTTAGAGCGACTATTGTAGTAATAAACCTTCTGGCAATTAAATATACCAATCGTAATTCAGCTTAAGTAGTTAGCAAGCTAAACTGTATATTAGGTACTTAGATTATTCTATACAGATCCCAGTGTAACACAGGCTTTATTAGTATAACACTACATACGAGTGCATACGCTTGTTGCCCTTTCAGCTGCGCGCGCGCATTATTCTTTCATTTCTCGTCAGTATTTTTAGTCGCATATGTTAATGACAGTTACATTTTATATTTAAAACGCAATTTAACAAATTAATAAAATTTTATTTACGAAATTTTATTTTATATTTAAAATGAATATTTTGGGGAAGTTTATTATATTTGCAATAGTGACACTTGTGAATAGTGAGAAAGTTTTTAAGAGTGTTCCGGTTGTTGTGAAAACATACGAAAACGATACAGTGTTGTTGCCATGTTATATAGACGAGACAGGTTGTTTTTTTTATTTCTATAAAATAGACAATATACCTACATATGCAAGACATATTATTGCTTAAACTTTCCGTTTAATCAAAACACTTTTAGTAGTGTACAAAAATGATTAAAAAAAGTAAAAAAAAATCTTAGATAAACTTTTAAATAATTGCTAATATCGTCTACTACCACAGACAACAGAATAGCCTGCCTGTATTACAATAATTAGTACTAGGTATTTAGTTAAAATATCTAAGTTATAATCCTCCGAAATTAATTGTATAAATTTGTATAAACTCAATAAGATTTTAAAACATATGATAAATATACCAGTAATTCTTATATCTCATCATTCTAAGCGTCGTGGGTTTAAGTAATTATTATTTAAATTAAATAAATTATCTTGACGCTATTAAACGGCGCCCATCGGCCTGGCGCCACTAGATCACAGACTATAAAACAAATTGAAATCATGTTAATGTTAATATGTAACCTTCAAAATTACAGATCACAATAATTTAATAGCACGATATTATAGAATGGGAATTTACTAGAAAATTAATTAAATTGTTATTATACTATACAATCATTGTTTATTTTGTATTATTAAATTGTTTTACATTATTTTTAAAGACGTCAAAAATAAAAATAGGCCAATATACAGAGCAACGAACTAGATTTCATCTAGTCTAAACAGATAATAAAATACACAATAATCCGTCAACAATCAGATACGCTTGTAACAAACAAAAGGCACAACACAAAAGCGATTCATTTTTGTGTCGGACACGTACCGGTAATAATTCATTAAAGTATCCGATCGAAATACGTACATTGAGTACGAAGGGAAAGAGTATTTACATAAAAAAAATTGTAGTTGACCAGATTTAGATTATATAATAATGTCAGAGACTTGTTGTCGTTGAATGGTATATAATTAATGCCAAGAATAAGTGTATTTTTATTAACGCATAAGATTATGAGAAATCTTGACGGGAACCTTGATCTAATGATAGAAATATAAGTAACTAACAGCTAACAATCTATGAGTCGTAGGTTTGATCCCTGAATGTTTTTCTGAAATATGTTGAATTTCGTCTGAGAATCTGGATATGAAATGGCTGTTTGGATCGAAATTGAGTCCGGATCACGAACTACCGTCCACAGAAGAAAAGACCAGTTAATAGCGGTTCGGTTTCAGTCTGTAGAATTCAGAATATCCAAAGCCAAAATAAATCGACAGCGGATCTTGTTACCATGTTATACGGCTGGGGTACATATTTCAGCCCATGTCACCCCCCCTTGTCTGTTCTCCTCTTCCATAATAAAATTCAAAAAGTGAGTTTACTGACAGTTTACCTATGGACACGAGTCCTTTGGACGATTAATATAAATTAAGGTTATAATTTAAATTATCATAACTAAAACTACATTATTTAAAAAAAACATACTTAACAAACAAACAATTGAGTTTTACTATATTTATATTTTATTTGTTTGTAATTTTTATTTTGTTATTATTAAATTGCTGTAAGCACAAGAGCAGAGTTATTAAATAAATCTTGGGCGTAGTGGGTAATGCCAAAAAAAATGGCCTCGCTATCATTGACAAAATTAAGCCGTTAATAATATTTTGCCATATGTGACTATCTCCATACATAATACAATTATATTGAATGTTGTCAGATACAAAATACCGCATCCATATAAATGTACAGCGGATTTTTAACATCTCGAACACAGTAACAGCCAGGAAGCCAGCTAGATTTGATCTTTGTATTCCAATTGTAAGGCACCGCCCGCTACAATATATCAACATCTTCGTATTAACACGTCCATTTTATTCCTATTGAGTTATAGACTATGACCCCGCCTTGAATTCACGTCTCTATAATGGATAATTGCTAATCGTAAAATATGACTTGTGGTTTTAGTGGTTAACACTTCAAACATAAACAAAACACATAGATACACACTTTTATAAAAAAAATACAACATTATATTAATAAGACTTAGTTCTCTCTTCCAAGAAATAAAGTAATCTTTTAAATAACGGTTTAAAACGCGATATATATTATTTAAACTTGCTTTGAATTATTTTAACTACGGCCCGACGTTTCGGATGCTTTGCAGCAGCCTGGTTACGGCGGGTCAATAAGTTTGACTAATATATATCGCGTTTTAAACCGTTAAAATGTTTTATTTAAATGAGTACTACTCGCGTAAACACGAGGTATTTAATAAAGTAATTCTGAAAACTTTAATATTTTTCACTCGTTATTTTTCGCACATTTTATAAATTAGAAATCTCTTCCACCTATGTTGTAGGTATATGTATAGTGTTTTTAATCTAAATATTTTTATTTATTATACCTATTTTTTAATGATTCCTAAAACTATCGCAACAAACGTCTAAATCTAGTTTTAACACGTCTCTTACTTGTAATGTAACGTTGTCGAGTAATTATTAAAAAATAATAACCCTAAATAAATCGCGTTGTAAGCCGTTAAAAGCGTTTTGTTCTATGTGTATCGTACTACTTGCATAAACTACAGAAAAAACTTATAATAATTTTACCTGCGTATCTACAGAAGCGAAACTCCGGGTTCGTTGGTACAAGAACAAAGATCTTCTTGGCGACAGTGAAGTTCCACATCACCTGATGCCGCCCAGGACCCGTATGTATGCCAACTTTAGTCTTCAGATAGACGAACTCACCGGTAACGATACGGCAGATTACACGTGTGAGGTAAGTTGTGTATGTTTTTCATATTTTTACTCAAGGAAAACATGATTTAAAACATTTTTTAAAATGTCTACAATAATTACTTTTTTAAAGCCATGTTCTAGTTTCCACTGCTTAGCTTAAAAATCCCTACAATGTTTTCAATTATGGGGCTATCGAGATGGCCTATCCAATTTCTAAACAAAGAATTTTGTTACCGCGTTTTTATGAAAAAGGAGGAAGTGAAATACCCGAGCTATATAACATCTAAACTAGATCGGCAGTCGACCTATTTTGTTTTTGGATATTCGGAAATCCACAGACTGAAACCAAAACGCGATTAAACTCGACGGTTTCACATTGTCTCACAGTCCTTCCTGCTATCTCATTTCTCGGTGCGGCGGGTTAAAGAAACCCACGATGCCATTAAATTAGTGACGAGAATATGGACTGACGGTTAGATGTAGGTATTGCGAACTAAAATGGATGCTAGGTATATAAAATGTAGAACACAAACTATGGCCCAAAACAACAAGCAAATAAACATTAAGACTCCACGCCTTAATTGCATCTAAAAATACTAAGAAACAAATTGGACAACTCATTCTAACAGCTCAATTTTTTCTGTAAACACACAGTAATTTTTAGTTGCGAAACGCGGCGCTATCTTAGGAACAATTAATTTGAACTGGTACCGCCCTTCGATCTTAACTAACTAGTAATTTGTTAATAGTGATGTGTATTTTATCGATATCTTTCGGGTGAAGTATGAAACATCAGATAGGAAATATACATATAGTGTATTTCCGAACTCCAATTTATTAATTCATACAAATTTATTTCATAATTACAAACAGAATTATCTATTTTATAAGCAGAGTGAAAACTGACAATCGTTTTGCAATAACCCTGGTTTGGTTTATACGTTCGGGAAAAAATCGTAAAAATTATTTTCCGAATCTTTACGAATTTTGCAAACAAGTTGTTCTAAGTATGTACTGAAATATACCTCTATTTTTTACTATATATGTATCTCTGAAACAGATGCATAGTCATAGGCAATAGTGCAATGTGCATATATTTTTTTGTATAGCACAGCACAAGAATATTGCCATTTTTTTCGAAATACGTATAATATCTAAAATGCATTGTCAACCTATTTGGTCTATGTTTTTGGTATACGGTTTTGGACATTGAGAATTAATTTCTTCCCTATTTTATAATAAAAAATCTAAAACAAACATAATGAGTTCCGTAGAAACTTCTATCCATCGTTAGTCGGAATTAACATCACTAAAACTCCGCCTGGTATACAGTAGCCAATTATACAATTACACAATTTGTTAACTCTTTTGTGATGGGAGATCGCAGCGTGTTATTTCGAGACATAATTGATACCTATATTTTTTGTTATTTACTGTGAAGAGGCCATTACGTCTATTAAATAAATCTACAGTAATATTATACAGCTAAAGAATTCGTTTGTTTGTTTGAACGGGTTCGAATTGGAAAATAACTTTTGTTATCGAGGAAGACTTTAGGCTAGGAACATCAGGCAGCGACCAATAGGAGCTTGATTGATAGGAGGATTTTGAGGCTGAATCAAGAATCGTCCAAGAAAAAAATATATATATTAAATTATATAAATTTATCGTTTATGATTCTCTCCCAAGAAGCGTTTTATGGTAATCAAATTTTGTTAAAATGCTTGATGTTTGATGTTTGTCAGGTTAACTAGTACATATTAAATATTATACTGTTTACTTTGTACACGTCATCATTATCTTAATCTGTAATCTTTAATAATGTCTTAAAACAGAGAAGCAGAACAAAGACTGTTAAAATAACCTAGTAAAAGACAGGTATACTATGGTATACTAAGTCATAGGTAGACTATGTCAATATGTATAAGTGACGAAATAATAGAACTTGTTTTTAAGCGAAGGATAGCTATGGAATTATAATTCATAAACCATTTACATGAGTAGTTCCTTCGTATCCCTAATCGTAGCTGTAAAAAGCTTGAAGCACGCGATATGAAGATCAAAAAGAGATAGCAATTAATGCTGTAAAAAAACGAGCTTCGGAAGCAATTGAGCTTAGAGGAAGTCTCATTAAGCTTCGTTATTGACAAGCTTTTACTAAGTTTAACCCAACATACTTATATACAATACCTTAAATTAAGATATATTACAAAGGGTACAGCAGAAGGGCTTTGTGGTACGAGCCCTTGATTTTAGATTTCTTACGTTGGTAAGAAATTTAAAATCAAGGCGTCATAATCGCTTGTATTAGTCACAGGGCGATGTTTTATAGCCTTCCTCGATAAATGCTCTAACCAACGAAAAATATTTTTTCAATTCGAACCCGTAGTTCCTGAGATTAGCGCTTCAAACAAACAAAATCTTCACCTTTATATATTAGTAAGTATAGATAGATTAGAAATGTGTTGGACTCGATGGGGATCGAATCTATGACCCCTTGATAGCCGTACATTACTACCATTGCACCAACGAGCTCGCCAAACCTACTTAATAATTGAATAATGATTGCTTTTTGCAGGTAATACGTCCGGAGCCATGGGGCCCGATCAGACAAACTCACACTATAGAGGTTCAATGTAAGTTCTTATTAAGTTAAAGTATAGCAATATAGCATATCATTGTCTTTCGGGCTGTTCGGCTGACGCGAGCGAGAAGGGGTTCTCGATGTTTCGCACATTCACAATTAATTCTTCAAGCAATCGAGGAGCTAACATCTCCTGATGATGCCGTCCGACAATGATATGATACGATGGCCGTGAAAGCCTTACACAATTTATAGCTATATAATAGACGTGACGTGTACGACACTGTTAATTGGTTAGAACAGCAGCACGGAACGCTGTGGATGCCGGTTCAAGCCCTGGCCGTATCGTTTTTTTTTCAATACAAATTGATTTTTAATTTAAATAATGCCATCGCGCCCAAAAATATGTGAATGCCTAAGCTAAAGCACTACACCACAACCATTACAACCTTTTAAAAAAATATACAGAGCAATATTTATGTACATTTTGTAGTTTACGCGACTACTAAACATTTAATTAAAACACTTTTTACGGTTTAATAGCTTATTTTTATTTTAACTACGGACGTTTCTGATGCTTTGTAGCAGCCATGGTTGCAGAGGGCCGTCGCCCCCGTAACCAACAACTAATATATTACAAGTTTTAAACAGAATGAAGTGTTTTTTTACTAGTCAATATATATCAATTCTCTTGTTATAGATTCGCCGACAGTTAAGACGGTTCCTGAAGATGGGTTTCTGGAAGTAAAGAAGGGGGATTATGTTGACATCGGTTGCGAAACGAGTGGAACACCATCACCTATTGTCGATTGGAGCAAAAATGTAAAAAAGTGTATTTCAAACATATATAACGGTTTAGAAATTCCATATGACCCGACGTTTCGGAGTAATTGACAGTCGTGGTGATTAATTGGGTCAATATTTGCACAATAATTTTACTACATATTTTGTTTATTACTAATATTTATAGTTAAAGTCGGTTTAAAAACAATTGAAAAAATTTTGTTTTTAAACCTTTTCCCCAAAAAACCTTTTTTTTTTTTTTTTTTTTTTTTTTTTTTTTTTTTTTTAATTTTTTTTTTTTTATTTTATACGGCATTAGTAATTTGTGTTAATTGCAGGGCGAACCAATGGCGCTATTAGAGCACAGGTCGCGAATTCGATTCCGCGCTGAGCATAGACTTTTGGCTGGTGTTTATGAATGCACGGCTAATAATGGCGTTGGTGACCCAGTGAAGGCAGCTATTACTGTTGTCATCCATGGTAAGTATCAGTGAATGAGAGGGGAAATGTTTTCCCTACATGTCGAGTGATGCGACACAGATCTTTTCATAGTTTAGACCTTCCGAGATTCTAACGTAGTTATTATTATTGTTTATCAATTCGTAATTATTTCACCTCCCTGCCTTGCAACACCAATTTTCTTTTAGTGTTAGTATCATAATAAATAAACTAGTGTTGTATAAATATTTATTGGACATAAGAATACTCATACAAAATAATATATAATAGTGATGTATGTTCTGCTGTTGGTGTATCTATAAATGAATAATCTTACTTTAATGGTATTTAAAGCAATATATTATATACTGTTAAATAAAAATTTCCGACTTCTCAATTCGCTTTTTATCACTTCTTCTCGCTGTACTGTTCGCAGTTCTTTTTAAGTGTTAAAGCTTTAGTTACATTATATTAATTATTTTTATTTTACGCCTACAGATGCGCCAGTAGTAACGACGGACCGTAGTTTTGTCCACACAGCTGTTGGTCTTCGCGCAGTTTTATCAGCACGACTTGAATATGCGAATCCACCAGCCAGAACTTCGTGGTTTAGAGATGGAAGACCAGTTAAACTTGACGATAGGTAAGTTGGGAAAACTGAACATTAGACATACCTATTATGAATCAAATTAATTGTGTGTGGAGAACATTAAATTAAATTAACTTGATTGAAGTTTAATTCGGATTTGGAATTGAAGACGATGTGAAATGAAAACAAAAGACAATTGGTTAAGCGTGAGAGGTCCTGGGTTAGAATCTGCCCATAAATAAAAAGCGAACAAAGAATGTGTTCGCCTCATGCCCTACGGGGTGAAACCCTACCACTTTTATGTTTCAAATTCGCCTTAAATGACTCGATCCCAAAATACGTCTTTAAGGTGGATTCTGTTCCTAAAGTAATAACATTAAACGTTTGTTTCAGAGTGGTCATGATAGTTCAAGACAATCTGCATCAATTAATCTTCCGTACAGTTCGTAAATCGGATCTCGGAAATTATACTTTTCGCGCGGAAAATAAACTTGGTATGGCAGACGTTGCGTTTAAACTTACCGGTGAGTTCTATTCTTCATCATAGAATTGGCAGACAAGCACGGGATTTACTTGATAGACGGTGAAATCCTCCAGATGTTATAAAATCTCAACCAGATGACCTGTTTAATTTATTTTTTAATTAAACTTCATGTCTTTATCTGTGGACAGAGCTTCGTGGCGAGGACGGAATTTTCAATATATCTAACATTTTATATCCAAATTTTCAGACGAAGTTCAATATGCTTTAAAAAATGTTTAAATAGATTAGATACATATTGTTAGTATCCGGTGGAGATCTAACACATGATCAGTTTATTATTAGCCATACATGTCTTTTGAATTCAACGATTCCGTCAAACTGGGTAACTAATTACGTATTTTATGTTTTTTTTTCATCTTTAGGTGTACCAAATACAGCGTCATTTAAAGTAGACCCGGCTTTAAATAAAGCTTCACCTGTCACCTACACTCTTTACTGGGAAGTCGATTCTTATTCTTCTATCATCGGTAAGACTAAACTATTCATAGATAATAAAAAAGGGTTAATTAAAAACAGATTTTTCTTTAAGTTAACAGAGAATGTTATCAGAAAAGCAAATTTGTGTTCTGTAGTTTATTATTGTCAAAATGATATATTCTAGAATATAACCTGTGGATTCGTCCTTATTATGGTAAACTGTCAACGGTGGAACCGGATGCATTTACAACAGAAGCTGCCGCCAATTTGTGGAGTAAAATCGTCGTTCCTGGTGACTCTACTGATGGTAAGATCGTAGTAAATAATATTTTTTTTATTGTTATAGGATTATTTACGAATTAAAAAAAAATAGATAAAGTTTCAAATTCGTTAAAGCGCAGTTTAATTAAAAGGATTTACATTAAGGATACCGCTCTATCTCTCACCGCCCCCGGCGTGGCCACGACTGCTGCAAAGCATCAGAACCGTCAGGCCGTATTTAAAATAAATTGTAAATAAGTTAACTTTTAGCGTTGTAAACTGCTAAAAATGTTTTATTTAAATGTGTACTTCTCTCGTAGCCTACAAATAGTAAATACATAATATAACCATTTATTTTTTTCAGGACCTATCCATAGTGCCAGCTACACAGTGCGAGGTCTAACTCCTTCTACCGTCTATGAAGCAATCGTCACCTCTAGAAATAGGTAACTTTATTTAATACATAGTATTGTAGACATTTGTTCGATAATTCCAATCATATTTTTTTGATCCAGATTTGGCTGGAGCAAGCCATCCCCGATGTTACATTTTGCGACGGAACCTGGATGTATGTATGGTTATCTCGATATTAAACTTATTCCTTAACTAATCTATACTAATATTATAAGGCGGTTTGTTTGTTTGAATGCCTGAATCTCTGGAACTACTACAAATTTAAAAACGGCGAAAATAATTCATTTTTGAGACTTTTGTGCGCTACGAAATCGGCTTAAGATACCCAAACATTTTTATGAAAGAATAATTCCTTTTAAAATAAAATAAACGACCTCGACACAATGTCTAGCTTTTAAGATAAACTGGCAAGAGTAACGGGACGCGACCGACGTCGTGGACAACAGCTAGTTATCTCTACATAGTCGATACATTTTTGAAATTGTACAAAATTAAATTTACTGTGTCTATAAAAAATATAGTAAATTAACCTTTTTTTGTTAGTTGGCAGAACGCTACCGTCATTTGAAGAGACAGATATCACGCCGATTCTGGAAGAACCTCAACAAGAAGAAGCCTTCAATATAACAAAAGCACACATTTTTGAACGACTCGACGATACCTCTAACGCAAATACTCTCAAAACATGGACTTCGGTTGTGATATTTTGTCACACTTTTATTTACTATTTAATGAGATAAATAAATTTGGTCTATAATATATGAATTTAAGAATATTATGTAAATAAATTCCTAAGAATAAAATATGTTAAGTGAAGGATTTAATTAATAAAAGATAATTAAATACGATTATTTATTTATATGTATGATACTGCATACATCTTCAACCCTGTCAGGGTCACTTCACATCAGACAAACTTTGGTTTACATTATTAATCTAAAATACGTTTTGTTATAGACAATAAACACTCATAATTTATACTTAACATTAGTCTCTTTATAAATCTAATTTACGATTCGAAACAGACACAGAAATTATGTTAGTTTAAAAACATTTAAAATACATTTTTACTTACACTTATTACTTAACTTACGAGTAAATTGGAAATAGACGAAAAAGGTTGAGGTTTTACTGGTTGGATTACTACACTGGATTAGATTTCAACACTGGCCTATTGTAATATTCTTCGCTCCTGGCATCGCTGTACGAATTAAATTGTTAATATTAAAATTCGTCGGCGAAACGAAATACGAAATCCGCAATATTCCACGAGTGAGCCCACTCTCGTGAGATGAAAGGGTTTTCATATTTTTTTTTTAATTTTCTACATACACAATCGGATCTAGAATCGCTTTGTGGTACCAGTGAATAAATCCAACCGAACCGAACCCGAACCGATCTCGCTCGAAAATATACGATTGGTCAATTCTAACGGAAGTAAAAAGGAATTTAAAAAATACTGATTACACTTCGAATTCAAGACTAGATCAGATCCAAAGATTTAACTATGATAATCCTTAACGCGTAGTTTGTTACCACATTAAACGGTTAAAATATATCTAGGTTTGTCGACAGTGACATTACGACTACCTTGCATATATAGATTCAAACATATTGGTAGGTAACAATTGTACCCGTAGTATTATAAGTATTTCAAAAGACCAAAATTCATTACGTGATATAAAAGGAAATTATGTGTAAGTAATAAATAACAATTTGACATACAGACTGACCGCGATGACCAGAGACACAAAGATAACATACCAACTTTGGCTAAGCCAAGTAATTTCGCTTTTTAACTAGATGAAACTGATTTCCAACAATATTTAGCAAACAGTATAACAATTCTCAAATAATACATTCACAATGTTCTGCAAATCTGAATGTATACAAAATATTCATAATTATTATAAAAATGAAAGTGTTAAAGCTTAAAGAATGTGATAATTAAAAATCTTGCTATTTTAATTAATGTTGGAAGACAAAAATGCGTTTCTAAAGTAGAAGGATTTTCAGCAAAACTATTAATATAGTAAATATAATTCTGAAAACCTTTTTTAATTGTGCGATTTAAAATTAATATTATTTATGTCGATGGCGCGTCAACAACATGGCCGTCAGAACACAAATTTAATGCATTTTATTCTTACCAGAATTTACTTACAAGTCAAAAGTTGAACGGATTATAAAATGCAATGTAAATAACATGTCATCTCGCTCTAACACATCATATTTCTGTGTGTAAGAGCGAGATGGCACGATAATGTATATAAAACACATACTACGCTGTTGGTTAAAAAAATAATAGTGTAAATATATGACACAGAGCTAATTCAATCAATTTTTAAAATATGTTTTGTATTTTGAAATTTACAATAATATATTCTTTAGTTTATCCATAATATATGTTTATTAACAATAGTTCTCTATATGTTATCTTTAAACTCAGAAAATTTAAGACATCAATAAATATTTAGTTCCATCTTAAGTTTATATTTCAAAATAATATTTAAAACCGTTTATAACATTTTAAAACATGATAAAATATTTCAACATATTATGTATTTCAACTTTTACAATACATTTAAAATTTTTATGAATTAGAAAATATTTTGTAAATAATGATAAATTATCTATATTCATATTAAATATAAATAAATAGTATCATTTAATGGTTAAATACATAACTCGTTGCTTTTGTACGATGCGATGTTAGTAACACGCCGTCTCGCTCTAGCACACTATATTCTTGTGTGAAAGAGCGAGACGACATGACAATACGAATTTAAAATTTTCGCAACATTTCGCATATAATTGCAATCTCATTTTAAATTTTTTATCGAGAAATACAAACCGAGTCATTAAATTCTCGATAAATACTTGTAACTTTTAATTCCTGAAAAATATTTGCAATATATGGATTATTAAGGCAGTTGAAAGCTCAAGATCGTTGATAGCAGAAACCCCGTTTAATAATCCATACACGATACACGCTAAAATACGATTATTTGTAAGTATACGATACCAATATCTGACAATGTTGCATTTAAGACACAACTCTATAGAGGAAGTTCAAAAACTAACCTCTGTAATTTAAATCTAGATCCTTCTAACTCTAAGCGAATCAAGAATTTGAATTCATACATGTTGCAAAATACAGAGGTTAGTTGTCGAACTCGTAATCGCTCTATCTCACTCTAACACGATTAAATTAATAAGTGCGAGTGAGAAGAATGATTTGGGATTTTTCATTTTTGCATTTTCGTCTGTCCATACACCTCACTTTTCCCGCCCAAGCTTTTCCACATTAGAATTTCTGTCCGCCGTGTTTATGCCCAATACTTATGTATTATTTGTAAACACTATTTCATCTCTGTTTTGCTCGTAAAACAATCGCTAGTCTATATAACACTTCTAGCAACGTAGATGAACTGTAAAATACTGTTCGTGGCACACTTTTCCGGCCTTTCAAAAAAATTTCACTTTTATACAAGTTTTGCAACTTGTCTTTACCCGTTTCGATGCTATTTTCTCATAGGGGCGTGGGGACCGCCAGCTATTCTTGCTGATCTGGCTGCTTTGTGCACACAGCGTAGAGGCAGGTAACACCAGAGACATGGTACTACGAGACTTAGTAACGTAATACCTATCCATCTGGAATTTTAAATTAAATTTATAGATTGGGTCAACAAAAAAAAATTATAAGTCAAAAAGAAAATTTAACAAACTGACTCTAAATAGTAAAAAAAAATCTGTGATCAAGAATTAGATGCTTTGCAGCAGCCGTGATCACGGGAAGACACGATCTGTAGTTAAAATAATTTTCAAACAAGTTAACTAATATATATCGCGTTTTAAACCGTTAAAGTGTTTTATTTAAATGTGTACTTCTCACGTAAGTACAGACACTTTTTAATAATCTGACATCAAATCTTAAATAAAACACTTTAACGGTTTAAAACGCGTTTTTTTAGTTAAACTTTTTTTAAATTGTTTTTTTCCTCCCCCCGGCTTTTTGGGTTGTTTGGCGGGGGGGGGGGGGGGGCGGGGGGGGGGCGAAATTTTTTTTTTTTTTTAAATTTTTGAGAAATCGTTATTTTTTTTAAATGTGTACTACTCGCGTAAACTTTAGACAGTTTTTAATCTGCCATCAAGTTTTTTTTTTGGAAACCCCAAAATCCTACCGTTTAGCGCAGTTCTCGTCCGGCGCTGTGCAGGCACATGGGTGCATTGCAAAGTCGCCTTCGGAATCCGACATACAGTGGTACAACATGCACTGGAAGAAAAATGGGTAAATTGAATTTTCTGGACACTTGACTTCATCTATACTAATTTTATAAAGCTAGAGTTTGTTTTTATGAACGCGCTAATCTTAGAAATATTGGTTCGAATTGAAAAATTCAAAAAGCTACATTTTTAAAACTTATTAATGACAAATGACTTTATTAATGAAATGATCTTTAGAAAGACTAATGAGACTAAGGGTAGAGTAATGACTTTGCTGATCGATGGATTATACAATATATAGATCCAATTTTAGTGAGCAGTGTCAAATTTTTACATAAAATAACTTGACCCCAAAAAAATATCGACAAACCAAACCATATTTAGTAAACTGAATTACAGTTGCAGGTATTTTTGATAGATACCTGCGCGCATTGTATACAGCTGACGTGATCTATGCAACTCTTGAAGCAATCCGGCGCATACTCGCAAGCCCCGTTCCTGTTCGCACTCTCCAAATACCACTCGTGACAATGCCTAAAACGCAAATAGTATATTTAAAGTGTTTAAACGCGAAATATATTAGTTAAATTGTTTTTACTTTAAGTACAAAAAGTGGCACAGAGTACATTCAACCGTTTCAACAACGCAACGTTTTGAATCGTGAACGACATTGGTTTATACATTTTTATTAAAATACGACGCAAAGTTTCGCGTTTTAAACTGTTACAATTTTTTTAACGCAGCATTGCATTAGGCAAGGTTCGAATCCCGGAGGCGCAATAGTTTCTTTCAACAGTGGTCTAGTGGTGTAAATAAATAGTATAGAAACAAACAATGATGGCACTCAATTGTGTAAGGCTTTCACGGGAATCGTTCAGCATATCATTGTTTTTCGGGCTGTTCGGCCGACGGGAGCGAGAAGAGGTTCTCGACGTTTTAATTCTTCGAGCAATCGAGGAGTTAACATCTCCTGATGAAGCCGTTCGCTCGTGATGGCGAAACGTCAAGAACCTCTTCTCGCTCACGTCGGCAGAACAGTACGAAAAACAATGATATAATGAGGGCAATGTAGAAATAAATCCATTTCCAATATTTTTACGAATTTTAAAAATAATTTCAATTATCTCCGACTATTCTTACTTTAATAATAGAAAAATATTGACCCAAGGTTGCCATTACACTAAAAATAATAAACTTTCTAAAGATTTTCGCAGTAAACAATAAACTGTCATATATACATACATACCTGCATTTTAGTCTAGCTTGAAAAGTCTCAGTCGGTTTCTTATCGGGCAGTGGTGGTGGTCCGCTGTATGTACATTTCTTTATAGAACCTGGAAAAAATATTCAACATGTAAGTAATTAAAAACAAAATCATCTTTTATTATATACCTATCGATAGAACAAGAAGGACAAGCATAGTGCCACTTGATGTGAAAACCCAGCCGTGTAATATGTAATAAGATATAAATTGAACTATTTTTTGTATTACATCTGTGGATAGTGGGTATTTTTATATTTCTACTACCCACGTAATATTTCTATTGATCTATAGATTCCTAGACGGAGTTAAACACGTTTCAGGAAAATTACAAATTGAAACATGATGAGCCTGGTGGGGATTGGACTCACGGCCCAAGCCGTAAAAATACTGGATGATAGTCTTAATTACTGTAATTAAACTATTAAATGAAATTTAAAACTGGCAACACTTCACTACCCTTAAATATTATTACTTAGTATATACAGTACCTGAATCTCTCTTTAAAAGCGTCGGCTTTGTATTCGGTGAAGACTTCTCAGAACTAATGATGCCACCAGCACCGACTTGGGGATAAGTGTATTCGTGGACCTAAAATTAATACATTTTAAATGATCAAAAACTTCTAATTATATAACAACTAGCTGTGCCCATGACTTCGTCTACGGGGAATAGTTAATTTTGGTATAATTATTTAGGCAGTTTATTTAATTATCTTATAAATCTAATAAGACACATGTTTAAATACAATGTTCCACTGCAAAGAGCTTATTAAGGTATTCATAATAAGTATGTCCATGGTATTGTTTATATTTATATGCTTCTTTGAGTTTGTTACTTTCGCATTTACAATAGTAGAAAGATCTATAAAAATAAATTACGATACATCCACACAACTTCTCATACCTCATTCAGCCCCTTACTACCTTTTTTCGTACAGCAAAAGGTTTTACAATACATGTTATCGAAAAAGGCGCATTCAAGTCAGCCAATCTGTGTTGTAAGTGCTACTTTGCCGCAACACTCCCACTCTAACTCCCATTCCCAAAAAGTTAAAGAAGAAAGTTTCATTGTTCTAGCTTTAAAAATAACGAAATTCCATTCCAACTTATATCCCCCTTTTCAACCCTTAACATACCTTTTTTGGCATTAAAAAGTAGCATGTCCTTTCTCAGGTTCTACAATATCTGTGTACTAAATTTCATTCAAATAAGTTCAGAACTTTCGGCGTGAAAACCGGACAGACAGACAGAGTTACTTACGCATTTATAATATTAGTAGTGAAGTTGTGATTGAGAGAAATGTTAGTATGAAAAGTATATATTATAAACGCACCGTAAACAACAGAACAAGTAGAAAGAGTATACAGTTGACAATCAACGTATCAATCGTTCTGGGCGATGAGCAGATTATAATTTAGTCCTATAGTGACATTTTTATAATTATAATCTCTGTAGTTTACGTAAGTAGTGCACATTTAATTAAAACACTAGAAAATTTTGAAACGCAAAATGTATTAGGTAAACTTATTTCCAAATTATGTTAAGTACCGTTAGTTAGTTCTAAAAATCCCTGCCCAGTTTCACCAGCGACGGAATAGATGGCGCTAGCATAGCAGTTTTTACTTTGAGGGTAAAGACACCCTTCATCTAGTCTCCGTCGGGCCGTAGTTAATATAATGGTAAATAACTAATATATTTCGCGTTTAAAACCTTGTTTAAAAAGTGTATATTTATACTTTTATTTTCTTTAAAATATGCATTTACTCACTCGACGGCCTCCGTGACTATACGAGCTACCTAGAGCTCGTTTAGTCACGAAGGCCGTCATTGCGAAAAGCAATACAGAGCCTAAGTACGAATCGCAGGGTTAACAAAGTAGTTTTAATTAGTAGACATAAGACTGATAAACTACTGGCTTGTAAATCGAATCACCCCATGCCCCAGAGAAACGGATTTTTATAGATTTACTTACAGCAGACAGTTGTACATAAGGGCAGCGTTCGGATTCTTCTTCGATAGATTTTTCAGCGAATTGCGTTTCGTATTGTTTCAGAGATTCTGAAAATAATATCGATACTAAGAAATGCAATATTAACAAATCCTAACATCCTAATCAATGTGATTTGTGATATTTACTATATTAAAGGTATCTAGAATAATAAATTCTGCAGATCTTTATAATATGTTGGAGTATTATAAACGGTGGGTTTATCAACGGTTCGTGGGTAACGAACCCACTGGGTCCATGTTTTAAATTAAGCTATAATTTTTTTAACGCATGTAGGACTTGGATATTCAATGTGTGGTAGGAATGTCGAAATCCAGTCGAGTGTATGTATGTATGTATCACCATCCACAGATGGAAAAACCGCGAACCTCGCAATAAATAATAATTCGCAATTAATACGCAAGTGTTAAGGTTATAAATTTAAAAAATCTACGATGACGTGTAGGACACGGTAGCTTAATTGGTTAGATCAACAGTACGGAATGCTGTGTATGACGGTGCAATTTCTGCCCGTGTCGTAATTATTTCCAAATTATAATCGATTTTTAATATATATAGTTCCAAGTTACCTGACAATGGATGCCTTGTGGGCAACGTGATAGCCGACAGAATAGGAGTCTGCGAATCACCATTTCTCCTTACACGGCTAGCTGTGGAGTTCTCTGAACTTGACCGTGAGTCCGTGGGCAGATTGAGACACTGAAACATTATATTATCATTTTCAACACGACAAAGAACTCACGATGTATATTTAGACGAACAGTCCCCTTTTGTATTTTGTGTATGTTTGTAATGAATAATCTCAAAAACTACTGTGCCGATTTAAAATATCTTTAAATAAAAAATCACAAAACTATAGATACCGTGACTAATATCGATAACAGTTTAAGTTACAGAACTTTAAAGATCGCTTTTAAGGAATTTATAATTTTAATATTTGAATTTTCTCTTTTGTAAATTTAAATTAAAATATTTGAAAAAAAAATATTTGAATTTTCTCTTTTGTAAATATTTGGGAGGGTGTGTATAGAAGTTTATAAATGTACAGCCGGGGCGGTGTATTAGTTATTAATAATAAATAAAAGTTTTATTTAAATCGGTCTACCCGTTTGTACGGAATATTTCAAACATCTATATACTCGTCGCGGAAGAAATGACCCATGTATTCTTAATAGGGAGTTTTTTGTAAATATATTAGTTTCCAAAGTGTTGAGTGGTATAGTACCTTCCTATTTTCGAAGGAAGCCGGGGATACTACTAAACTTATATTATAATTCCAATATGTACGATACGATATTATTATACTATTAAATAAAATAAAATCTATATACTCACTTCAAAGATATTATTTTCTTCGTCATCTTCTTTCCGCTCTAGATGGCGTTGTTTGTAAGAATAGTGTGATGGCCACGAGCCGCCCAAACCTATGGGCACAAGCAAATTTCATCAAATAATGCTTTGCCTTCGAACCAAAAGGAAAATATATTATTATTTATTGGTATCCACTTTGTTCTACTCACCGTGTAAGAATCCAGTATACGGTAGAAGGGAAGCAAAAGAAAGCACATTAGATAAATTAGTTCACGTTTGAGCGCCTCATTTTGTAAATTCTTAAAAATGGTTAATGACAATGAAATGATATATATTTAAAGCAAAATTTTGGATTTTAACGAAACGTCATAACTTTTCAATGAACACACACAACACGTTTGAGTAGTTAACAAGACAATTCAAACAAAATAAAGTCCGTTAACCGTCTCTGTAGTTAAGCCATTACTTTAAACATTACATCCGAGATTGTTTAGAAGAGTTGTTTGAACGTGGTAATTTCAAGAATTCCTGGTTTGAATTGAAAATGTGAGGCAATTTGTCAATTTGACGCGCAAAATAACAATCCTCCTTCTTAGAAATCAAATACTAACAACGAAAATTGTTATACCCTCACAGTTATTTCCCAGCAGTAGGAATAAGGCAGATGATGATAAGCATCTTACCGTCTAGTAACTCCTCGAGCGCCGTCCGCACTCCCTTGTCGAAGGCCCGTGCGTCCGCTGCTGTTTGAAATGTGAGACCGAATCTTTTCTCCTCAGTAAGCCAGTGGTGGAAAGTAGGCATTACTTTGTGGTACTGAAAGTCCTTTTGTATTGTGCATTCGAGGACGACCTGAAAATATAATGAAATAAAGTACAGGTTTTTAAAATAATAAAACACTTTTCAAATTCCACGGAACAGAGGCGCTAGCGTAGCAGTTTTGACATAAGAGACACCCTCCATTTTTAGTCTCCCCGTGATCACTGCTTCTGCAAAGCATCCGAAACGTCGGGCCATAGTTAAAATAATTTTCAAATAAGTTAAAATAATATATTTCGCGTTTTAAACCGTTTAGTGTTTTAAAATTCTCGCGTAAACTACAGACAGAATTTAAGTACAGTGTTAAACAAGGACTGCATACTTAATTATTATTTATTATTATTTTCTTTCGGGGACACTGTGGTAGACGGGTATCATCAATTATAATTTACCCATTCCACTGGAGGTTTTGGGTATCAATTCCCCTTCCCCTTCAAACTTCGTTGCTTGCCAATCTTATTATTTTTTCCATCTGTAATTCTTTACATTATAGTTTTTTTATTAGTTTAAATTATAGACCTCTTTGATCTCTAATACAAAAACACTTATTTTCGAGTTAATAACAATAATAATATCGTTTAACATAAATAAAATATATCCTATTTTACATTGGCATTAATGGACGATACGGATGGGACTTGAATCCACTACCAACCATTACCAATTTTAAATAAAAACGATATATATTTCGCGTTTTAAACAGTTAAGTGTTATTATTACAATTAAATTAAACTACGTCCGGCCTTTCGATGTTTTTCAGCAGCCGTGGTCACGGGGAGACGTTTTTACATTGATGACTATTACATAAGTGATAATTAAACAACATTATAATGAGAATCTAACAATCGAGTCACATAACAAGCACTAATCTGCTAGCTACCAATAAGGCCACGCCCACACACTTTTTTAAAGGACGCGTGAGATCATTCATTTGTCTTCGTTTTCTATTCATGTTGTTGGTCTATAAGTAGTTGAATTTATGTATGACTCCGTCGACATATTAATTAGACACACTCGTCACTTCTAAGACGATTGGACATTTTGTTTTTCTTGAAATTGTTATGGGACAGTCTTAGATGGAGAAAAGTGCATTTTAGTGGCGACTTTGGTAAAATACAGTTAACTATTATCTACGTACGAACGCGAGAGACAAACATTAAATTAAACTCGACAGCAAGTAGGAGCTAAATCGTAGTATTTCAAGCCCTATTCTTAACAAACATTTATAACCTCTTTGTGTAGGTAAGGTGTGTCACGAAATGTGTAACTTTGGAAAATATAATAGAGTTTTGTTAAATTCCTTTTTGTATTTTTCGAGTGTATGGAGAAAGGGGAGAATGACAGAGGGGGGAAAGAGATAGAGAGAGAGAGAGAGAGAGAGAGCAGAGAGAGAGAGAGAGAGAGAGTAGAAACTGACCGTATTATCGCTAATTCGTTTCCCATGTATGTAATACTCGTAGGGTAGCATTGGTGCGGGTCCAGCAGTTGTGTCGCTACTACTCTCGCTAGGCGCGTCGCTAATACCTGAGAACACAGTACACAAAGTGTGTAAAATAAAGTGTCTAAAATAACTAATATTTGGTTTCCCAAACAGACTATTCCCTTTCGCTCTTATAAATATGTGTACGAGGAACAAAGACATTAAATATAGGGGTCCATACATTTATGAAATTCTTATAAATATCAAACTTAGTCAAATAAGTACAGAATGGAAACCTATGGGGTGATTTTTTGAAACATATAATATATATACTCTGACATTATTTACAAATCAGTAGATTTGATTAAAATTAATAACAGAAATCGACCTTGATTTTTAGGAATTGGTCCTGTTTTTATATACTTTCATACCTAATTGATTCATAGCCATTTTTTCTACTCCACACAAAGGAAAACAGACTATGACTCCAGTGGTTCTTTGTACCATTTTCTTAAAGCCCTCAGTAGAACTCACACTGCCGATTTAGTGTGTGTCTAGTGCCGAGATACTAGATCTCATAAGATCCTTTTATGCCTGGACTAGTTTGAAGGTTATCTTACCAGTAACAAAGTGTCCAGAGCGGCGGCCCACCATGACATCCGCCAAGCCGCCACCACTCAACGCCACCCATCCTCCCGTGCCTTCGTCGCGACACATCACTTGCGCACGGACTCGCACCACGCAGACACTGGAATTTAGAGAGTAGAAGATTAAGAAGGAGACACACAACTTAGATAGGGCATAAACAACTTTTTTTTAATGATAGATGACAAATAAGCATGGGGGTTCACTTAAAAGGTGAAATAGCCCAGCCATAGAACATCTATGCCGTAGCCTAAGTTGTAGTTTGGGATATTCGGAAATCCACTGATTAAAAATAATTTCACGGCTTTTTTATTTGTGGGGGGTGGTTGGCGAGCCGAAAGGCAATTCGAAATTCCTACCATTAATATCGAGATTTCCAGGCACAGTTTCAGAAATTTGTAACACCAGGTGGGAATCAAACTCACGACCCATTAGCCATTGATGCCATCCTTAGACAAACCAGCCGGACAAATTTAATTTTCTTTAATAAGTATTTAAAACAGAACATAAAGTTTGAAAATCTTTGGGTAGAAAAAAAGACGGGTCTACGAAATATATGAACAAAAAACACAATAGATACTTTTATCTACGGAAATAGCACTCGAAAGTATCCAATTACAACATAATATGTATTATGTTTACTTCCTCCACAAATTCCTTTTAAGTAAAAGGAAGGAAAGCGCATTTCTGAGGAAACAATAGATTGTGATTTCACAGTTGTAATTGCAGTAGCGTCTAAAAAACTGGTAGATATTAAGCACAATTCTTCATTGTATAGTTTTCAAATTAAAACACACATGTATTAAATTATAAAACACAACTAATCAAAGATTACTTTATATTTCCAGACATATTCAGTGTCCGAGCACAAAATCTGACTAATTAACTACAGATTATACTAAAATGTGAACACCATTAAGAAGCCAGTCTTAAAAGAATTATCCTTCTCCATAAGTCTACTAATTGCATAATTTTTTGGTGTTATGACTATAAGGGCTTCTTGTAACAGCAATATAAGACCAAGTGTGATTTGCAAAGGGTTCTGTGGCAATAACTAAAGCCAGTATATATTTGATTTTAGGTCATAAGTCAAAAAAAAAGAGGATTTTTTTTCATTCAAGAGCTTGCTTATTACCATTTTAGATTGAGCCCTGGTGACAGACTGCAAATTCTACTAATAATTTTTTAAAATAAGAAGTTACAGAAGTCATTTTTACCTTTTGGGTCAAATTCCTAAAGACATTTTTAACCCAAACAAACAAAAACCCTAGTGCCATATATTTTTTTAATCATTGTAAAATAGTTTTTCTATATGTATACAAGTCTTCTGTGAGAAATTTTTAATACTCATTTGTTTTTTACAGAGGCAATGATTAAATTGATACTGATGTCATTAAAATTAAACTATGTCTAATAAAAAGTAGTAACTTACATATTAAGAAAACAAATACATAGGATATGTTATGTATGTTAAGAGTTTCTTTTATGAAACAAGTAAACTTATGATTAACAATCCCACATAACAATAGATGAAAAGGATTGTAACTTATTTTGATGAATTTCTTATTTTAAAGAGTAAACATGAGCTTTTATTTCACTGTCCATAGTCCAAGAACAACTTGCTAAGACAATTTGATACTTCCTGCCCGTTTGATTAAATAATTACACACAGACAGAAACTCACACATTTATAGACAGCAAAAACAACTTTAAGATCAACATAAAGTAATATTTTTAAACACTTTATAAATAATTTGAATTTCTTGTAAATTACACAGGACTTATTTGTGAAGTATTGCAAAAACTATAGTTTCTGTATTCCTATATATTTTTTGAAAAAATTAAATGTACATTTTACTATATATATTGAAGGCTATCAATATTATTTCAATATGTAAGAAAAAAATATTTAGATTAAATATTAAAATAATAAAGGTACACCTCGTATGTCCATAAATAAGTCTATCGTTAATTTAATATTCTAAAATCGAAAATAAAATTCAATATGTGACATGCAAGTAAATTTAAATTTCGAGAACGACAACTTTGCGTGCCATATTCTCACAAATGTACGTAAATTTTTCGCGCAAAACTGCAGTTTATTTCAATGACAGCATAGGATTTTCGTATGAAAGATAATTCATTCAGAAACAGCTTCATTCGAGCTGGCTGCAGATGACCCCGAAAGCTACATGTATGTACTTTACAATGAATGAAATAACGCTCATTGATTCTATAGCTACACAGCAGGGTCACCTAAGGGCGGCGGTCTTACATGTTTTATGTACGATTTCTTATGTTGTTGGTTAATAATTCGCTCTATAAGCTCGTGATGAGAATATGTAGACCTTAATATGAGTAGAAATTATCAATGGTCAGATTTAAGGTCGTAAAATGGCCGGGGAAGGGCCCTGCCTACATCGCGCAGGGCGCGACTTAAATTATAGGAAAGATCCATTTAAAAGCAAAGCTTACTTCTCAGATGCCTCGGTCATGATTCGACACGTCGAATATCCTAATTTCTACTCGCCACTTCACAGATTTCACCATTTTTATGACATAAATACATCAGATTTACTTGAGAACGAGTTTTATTTCGGCCCTTTGTTGGGCCTCAATACGCGTGCGTCGATGACAGACGACAGTCCGGGCGGGTTTTCAATGAAATCGGCGCGTTTAAACGACAGGTGGCGCGGTTGTCGTACCGTTCCTCAAGGGACTCGACGCGATTGGTCGATTCTAACACGCCTGCAATTTCTACCAATCACAGCGCAGAACTTTGAAACACACCAATGACGTACATTCGTGACCTAAGTTCACTGAACCGCGGGTTTTTAAAATGATTTGAATATTCTGACACTGCTAGAAGAATTTCACTCTATTCGTAAAGACTTTAAATTCCGCGAAGTTTCTTGGTTTCCACCTGCGTTTTTTATTAAAATTGAACGATATTAATGTTAAATATCGCAGAAACGTACTTCGCACCGGCCGCGAGCGATAGCGTAAAGTAGGTCAGAGCGCATTCGAGGCTTCGACGGTTACTGAATGAAGCAAGGTTTGCAATGGGCCCCTCCATCCCGTTCATACGGCGCACCATTGAAAAATAAATAGGTCAAATCATTGCAGTGTGCCCCAATTTCAGGTCAGTTGCAAGAGGCAGGGGCCCCTAGCACTAGGTTCTATAAATAGATGCGCTATATTCGGGCAGGTCATGAAATGCAAGCCTCCTAAATGTAGGTTACCTGATTTTCTTTGTTAACCAGTGACGTAGTTTCTCTATGACGTCAGAGAAACTGATCGTTCAATTTTAAAATTATTATGTGGCCAGTTAGATTTTAAATGTGTTTAAGTTGCAGTGAAATTATTCGAATATTATTGTTGTAAGTATTAGTTATTACTACTTCTTAAGATAGCACAGTTATATTAAAGACGTGTAAGTAGACATCGGAATATAATAATGATATAACAAAGCAAAATAAATAAATAAAATAAAAAAGTTTTTTTTAACATCGTAATTTTTATTGTAAAGTATAAAAATATTGTAGAACATTGAATGATTTTATTTTTTTCTTATTGTCTATAATAATATTTTATAGAAATTCACAATAGTATAAGAATGTTAATATCCTTATAAAATAATTATTCAAAGGTTGTTTCTGAGGATGTCTTGTTTTAAGCCATCTCTAATTATGTTACGTACAACAATGACGTAATATACATTTGATGTATACGTTCTTAGACAAAACATTTATTTGGGTTGAAGAGACGACGTCACGTTTAATTTTTTTTGTTTTCTTAAAGCCTTTCTCCATTAGATCCAATTCCAGTAAGACATAATAACATTGATTGTAAAAGTATTATAAAATTAGCACCCTTTAGAACATTTTTGTCACTGGTAACTTTAATCAGTGACGTAATTCCCTGGAGAAAATCTGGGCTTTACAAATTTTCATATTCGGGTTCCGATTTAGTAGCCGACGCAAGAGCACCACGTTTTACGTCATCACTCTGCAACGCTGCTTGGTTTATTAAGTTCTGTAAAATAACATGAATCCATTAAATTAAATGTTTTTACCAAATGTCATGTAGCCCTTATGAAATATCTTACTTCCTCCAGGTCGTATAACACAGTATAAAATTAAAAAAAAATTACTGTCAGTACTTTACGCGAGTAGTAAAAATTAAAATAAAACACTAACGGTTTAAAATGAACGGTGGTATGGTGTTGTATAAATTAGTTAAATTTGTTTGAAAATTATATTAACTGCGGCCTGACGTTTTGGATGCTTTACAGCAGCCGTGACCACGGCTGTATATTATATAGCGTTTTAATCCGATAAATACTTATATTATAATAACGTACTTTTTTATATACAAATGCAAAATAGAGTTGAATGATCAGCATATCATTGTCTTTCGGGCTGTTCGAACGATGAATGATGGGATATCTGAACGATGGCTGTGAAAGCCTTACACAATTTATTAGAGTTGAATGTTATTTTAGACAGTGGTATGAGTCCCGTTGATATTAAATAGGTGGGTTGAATTTAACTAAAAGTAGAATTAATTTTAAGCCATAATATTCACATATATTTGAGTTTAAAATTATTAAAACTAGATATATTACGTACAATGTGATACAACCCGTCCTTAGTAGGTCTGCTCTGCGAATACACCATGTTTATTTTACTGTTCTGTACAGCTATCGGACTCTTCTTCGCTATAGTTTCTGCTATGTCCAACACTTCTTTCACGGCTCTGAAATGATGTTATTATATTTTCTTACATTATGACTAGCATAAAAGTCAATTATTTTTGTTGTTCAAAATAACCTTAAACACGTTACGTGTTATTTAAGAGATTTTGCACAAAACTAGCATATAATATAGTTATAATGTAATTGTGAAAGCCCTGTACTGGAGCGATGTGGTTGTTGAAGCCAACTTTCTTATGGGATAGCAGTAGAAGGTTAGCATTAACAAACAGTATCAAGACAATATAAAAATAAGTGTAACTGACTTGGTAATAATAAAAGATATTTACGTTTCTTTGTCTGCATATATTCTGCTGACAAGTCCAAGTTCTAGAGCTTCTTTTGCTTGCACCTTTCGGCCGGTGTAAACCAACTCGCGCACTGTTGACGTGTTGCCGAGTACCTGAAAAATTATTCAAAATGCACTGTAAGTGCAGAAGGCGGAAAGTGGAAAGTGAATAGGAAACTAAAGTGTATACCGATGTGTTCCTAAGTACAAGTGAAAACGGTTATCTACATACATAACAAATAATTGTATATTTCTTGCTTTTGGCGTGTCATAGATATGTTATGCATATTACCTTTGGTAACCTCTGTAAGGTACCGACATCAGCAGCAATACCGATGTCTACTTCTTTCACTTGGAACCAGGCTTCTTGTGTACAGTATCTGCAATATCAGCGCAAAAATTTAGTTTGAGACAGGAACAATAGTAGAGTAAAAATTTTTTAAAGTCTTTGATTTCACCAGTAAGCAATAAACTTTTATTTAAAAAAATGAGAAAAGCATGCTTATAAAAAAAATCCTATTGCTAAGTTTAAGTCAACTGTAAGTTGACCATATCGCCTTAAAATTAATGACATTTTACATGTTACTAGATTTTAAAAAAGTTTTGATAGATGACAAAATACATTACAGATGCTGGTACATACTCCTTAATTTGGATAATTGTGCCATTTTATATAAGATTTGCTGAATATAAAATGTTTTAGAGAATAACTACCTCATATCAGCAGCAGTGATGAGATCTACACCAGCACCTACGCATGCATTGTGTACCACAGCCAATACTGGCTTCACACAATCTTCTAGTGCTGTAATTCCATCCTAATAAAACAAATTCTGGCTTTATGTGATAATACTATAATTTTGTGTAAACACCACATGCTATGTCTCTGGGATTTGAACCCAGGATCTCCATTACTTGCTAACACAATGCTAGGCCACCTGCTTCACTAGTCTCCCAAGGAAACAATAAATGGTTCTGGTCAGACATGGCACAGAAGTCTGATTAGCTGCTAGAGACAAAGAAAAGAAATTTGCCCCATGCCCCACGGATGTCACTACCACATTCTATATGAATTAAATTTGTACAGGCCATGCATTTGAATACTAGAAATACCGTTACTCAAGCACTATTATGATTTTTAAGATTTGCAAGTTTGAAACAGCCCACTTATCAGAATTTTCATGCCGTAGATTAGAAATATAATGTGATAACTCAATCATTTGTAGGATCTAAACATGATTATTAAAATTGACAAATTGCTAAATAAGACTAATTTAAAAATATCTGAAATTAAGGAAAAGATGGCACAGAAAATATGTACCTGACACCTTGTTATAGTTTTCTCAAAATGCCTGGCTCTACGGCCAATATCCTCAATATCTTCTACTTTTGTTCCTTCTTCAAGAATACTTTGTAGATTAATACCTGTTATTATAATATTTTGTTAATAATAGTAAGACCTTAGTTAGAAAAGTATGCTTTACTTTGTTAACATGATCATACAATATATATTAAGATAAGTAGCAGTAAAAAAAAATTTAAATATAATATATTACCTCCGGTAAAATGCTTTCCTTGTCCAGATAGAACAATCACTCTGCATTCAGAATTATTGCTTAATGATGTAAAACAGTCATTAAGTTCTCTAAAATAAATTACAATAGTTTTAGTATAAGGTTAAGTATTCATTATACACAGGATTTTTAAAAGGAAGAAAATGTCCTAGCTACTTACTGCCACATATTCATAGTAAATGTATTTAGCTCTTTAGGTCTGTTCATCTCTACATGGAAAACATTTTTTTTAGGTTGAGAAATTGCTAAAGTTTCAAACTGAGGTACTTCAGTTGAATACAGGCGGGATAGTGCACCTATAAAGCAATTAAACAATCTGTTTTATTAAGTAAACATTGTTGTGTGTATTGAAAATATCAAGTAAGAATCTAAATAGGTACCTGAACTTTTAGTTATTGGTCTGTAAAGCAGCAAAGATCGCGCTATTTGAAACACCATTTTTAAATAGGAATTTAAGTCGTAATAGAATAAAAACCAAAGAATAGATAAAATGGACGAGAGATTATTTTACACGTATTTATAAGGTAGGACCTTTAATCGGAGTAAGATAAAAACTCTCGGTTCAAAGTCCTAACGTAATAGGTATTACACATGTTTTGAATTTCGAAAACACTCTTAAATTGACATATACAATACAGACTATACATTTGACATTTTAAATTACGTCATCAAACTGTCAATGTCTTAGTGTTGAGTGAGGATCGGAAGGAATGATATAAACGAAAGAACCGAAATTACAAAGCCCATTTTTTACCGTCACCAAAATCGAAAATCCAGGATTATATTATGAGGCCGCAGACTTGACCTATATATTTTTAGTTTAAAAATTTTAATCTACAAAGGCACAGTGACAGAAAATTGTTAACACAATTCTTATACAAATAATAATACCAATTTATGTTCGCCTAAGTAATTGTGCATTTTTATTTTCAGCTTTGTTGGAAATCATGTTTTTTGTTAGCTACTCTGCTTCTAGCAGCCTCATATATTATATTATCCAAGTTCTCGAACAATGCAGTACAATATATATTGTTTCTTATCTGCGATTTATCGTTCAGACGAGACTATATCAAGAGTTTTAAAATAATGGTTTATGATATTAGAAATAATAATTTAAGTATTTCATGACAAAAACTTATTGATACCCCACAACTGTTTGAGTATTTAAAATATGATTTTGTGATCTAACTATTGCTGGTTTTCCATGTTGGCAAGTCGAGAAAAAATAGCTCATTCAGTTATATGAGCTATATTACATTTTAATATTGATATAGCCCTGCTTGCTCAGTGACTATAGCATTAAAGTTGTTTCATTATTGAAAACAAGTTAAAACACCACATGAAATCGGACTTTGAAGTGTATAATCATTATCTTATTTTGATTATAACACAGCACTGTATAAATAGATGTGAAGCAATTGTATCCCTTCAGTTGTTTCCATTTTATTTTTGATTCCAAAGTTCACATTATAATTATGGTTTTTCAAATTACCCGATCTTTACTGTTTTACAGACCTCTGACTAGATCAGGTAAATTAATTTATAAATAATACTAATATATTTATAATATTTGTTAATAACAGTGTCAATTGTATTTGATTTACAGAATCAATTTCACGATTGTATTCAACTGCGGTGCCGCAGTTTGAATCGTTAGCAGTTTCAGTACCCAAAAAACATGTTTTTCATGTGGAATTGAATAAACCAAACGATTTCAATACGTTTACTATGGATATGTGGAAGTACGTATTCAATTTTATTTATATAAATGTTTATATGTGTAAATGATCAAAGTATTCAAGTTGTACATGATATGAGGCCGCTGGAGACAGAACAGTGGCTGAAAGTTGTTAACGCAATTTTTACTCAAATAACGCAAATTAATTTTCGCCTAAGTTTTTTGCGCATTTTTATTTTATATTTGAATATTAGGCCATTCTGCCTCTAGCAGCCTCATATATTGTTAATCGAAATCAATTTGTTTCTATTAAACTATTGTATTAAACCATTTGGGATTTCTTTCAGAGAACTAAATGCTTGTTTTACATCATTAAGCAACAATTCTGAATGTAGAGTTATTGTTTTTTCCGGAAGAGGAAAACATTTTAGTGCCGGTAATTAATTTTATTTATTATTTAAATGCCTTTTCACATAATTTTTGTGGATGGACTTTGAACCTTATCTGATTTAAACATCTATCTTATCTAAGTATAATAATAACTCTTATTTTATATCAGCTTAGAGGTTCCCAAAGTGACTAACTTTTTTTTATTACTTAAAAATTAACAGGAATAAATATACAAAACCTTCTTGATGAAGAAACTAAAGTAGAAGATGTGGAGGATATTGGTCGGAGGGCTCGTCATTACGGAAAAACTATAAGCAGTTGTCAGGTATATTGCATTTTATTGTATTTCAACTTGTAGAAACCTGTTATATGTTTATGTATGGTCCTAATCCTATCAGGATAAATAAACCTTAACTTTTACCACACATGAAACAGAATAGCTAATTTGTCACTTACTTGCTTAACTTCACTTTGCTGTGAACCAGACTTAAGTTAGTGTTATCAAATGGAAATAAAATGATTTCTTTCCAGGATGGTATATCAGCATTAGAAGACTGTGTCAAGCCAGTGTTAGCTGTCATTCACAATACTTGTGTCGGAGCTAGTGTAGACCTTATTTCAGCTGCTGATATGAGGTGACTATTATTTCCTCCAGGATTTGAAGTTTGAACCTTTTGTGCGTACCAGAATGTTATTGCATTTATCAATAGAACCATAGACATATAAATGTTTTTAAAGTTTTGTTATGTGAAAGTGATTTTTTTATTGAGTGGGAGTCTAGTTATTCATTATGCTTCAACAAGATTTGAACCCATGACCGATAGCGCTTGACTATTAAGTCGTGTAATTTAGTTTTGTAGTATTCGATAAAATTTATCTTGCAGATATTGTACTCAAGGAGCCTGGTTTCAAGTAAAAGAAGTCGATGTTGGTATAGCTGCTGATTTTGGTACTTTACAGAGGCTGCCAAAGGTAAGAATAATACAGACATACAATCAACATTGTTTTTTTTCGAAAAAATATTGTAAAAAAATAACATCCCTTAAAAAACCCCATAAACATTAAAAATTAATTTAAAAAAAATGTACGTCACGGACGGGACTTGATCATCCTCAGCCATCCGTGCTGTTGCTCTAACCATTTGAGCTACCGTGTCCCACTCGTCAACGTCGATTTTATCAATCTATAGATCTTGCACCTCTCGCATAAAATCTCTCATCAAGTTTTCAATATGTTGTTTATTCATTCGCTTCCACTCTGAAGAACAAACTTTGGGTCATTCCCACCTATCATACGAATGTTAAACGAATATACTGCAAATAAGATAAATACCATTGTTATCTTTGCTGATTCCATATATCGGTATTTATTTCGTAATTATTTCACCTCTCCAAGTCATAACACTTATTTTTAATTCTTAGTTCGCACGTTTATGAACTTGTGCTCTATACATCTTTTATTGGATCTAACATAAGAATATATGTACTAATCTATACTAATATATAAAGCTGAAGAGTTTGTTTTGTTTGTTTGAACGCGCTAATCTCAGGAACTACTGGTTTAAATTGAAACATTATTTTTGTGATAGTTGGAACATTTATGGAGGAAGGTTATAGGGTATAAAACATCGCGCTGTAAAAAAAGGGGGAATTTTTTTATCTCTGTGGATTTTCGATGCGTACGCTGCGAAAACGGTTCAAGATACTCAAAAAATATGTATTAAACAATAATTCCTCTTTAAATGATCTAAAAAAAAGTCCGCGAAGCTATTTGTCTATTTTTTAAATTTGAAAGTTGTAAGTTAGTAAAGATGAAGAGGTTTACAAAAACGAATATGGATGGCCAAAATAACTACTCTACGCGGACGAAGTCGCTGACACAGCTAGTAACTACGTAATATTAGAACAGTTGGCAGCTCCAATACAATACTTTCTTTCATATAACGTTTATGCTTATAATAAAATGGTTTTATTTTTTTTTATTTTCAGATAGTTGGCAGCACGTCAACAGTGCGCGAGTTGGTTTACACCGCTAGAAAGGTGCAGTCAAATGAAGCCTTAGAACTTGGACTTGTCAGCAGAATATATGCCGACCAAGAAACGTATGTATTGTCTTCAAGCGAACCTAATTATCTTCTACTACTATCTCATAAAGAGGTTTTATAAACCACATTGCAGTACAGGGTTACAATTACATTATAATTAGGTATATTCTAGTTCAACGCAACACTATTAAGAAGTGTTCAATGTTACCAGTTGAAATGACCTACCGAGTCAATTCTATTAATTTTTTTTTTTCGATTTTTAATTTACTATGGTAAATGTGCAATAAACATTTAAAAAATATTGAAGTTTTCAATAGTACATACTAGCTACAATTTGTGAAAGTATAATAACAAAGTAGTAAATCGCGTTTGCAAACTTTATTATTTTTTACATGTGCACATGAAGGCACTATATAATTTAAAAATTCGAGCAACAGCACGGAACGCTGACGATACCGGTTCAAGTCCTGCCCGAATCGAAAATTTGTTCAATTTATTTTCGATTTTTAAATAATAAATCGCGTTTTAAACCGTTAAAGTGTTTTATTTAAATGTGTACAACTCGCGTAAACTACAGACGATATCTACGGATCACTATTACCCTCACTATTTCTTTTTCAGAGCACTGAAAGAAGTGTTGGACATAGCAGAAACTATAGCGAAGAAGAGTCCGATAGCCGTCCAGAACAGTAAGATAAATTGAATTTGTACTATTCTTACTAATATTATGGTTGTTTGTTTGTTGTTTGGACCCCTCACTCAAAACTATGTTTCGATTTTTGTTTAAATTTTTTTTTTTAAAATTTATCAAAAGGTTTTAGGCTATAGAACATCACCTCAACAGAGTGGAAACCAAAACCCCTTTCTTTTGAGGGCGTCATTCTGCGCTCGAAAAGGTTTAAATACTCAAAAAATATTTCCGAAAGAATGATTCCCCTTTAAATTTGCAAGACCTTTTATATCCTTTAAAATCAACTTACAATTACGGGGGATTAAACTTTGGTACCCAAATTACTATTCTACGCGACAAAGCCAAGACACAGCTATAATGATAACATGCGTCCCACTTCACCGATTTTTATTTATTTATTGCAGAATCTCATCAACCAAGTGGGTGTGCAGAGTGGAGACCCAAAAATTGGCGCCGTCGCTGTTCTCACCAAAGAGACACCTGAATATGAGAATTTGTAATCAAATACTGCCTTCACTCGGGTAGTCCGCATTTAAAAACACTTTAACGGTTTAAAACGAGAAATATATTTAGCAAACTTATTTTTAAAGTTATTATAGCGACCCGACGTTTGGTTTTTTTGCCTCGGTCACACGGGGCACACAAACAAACAACAAAAAAGCAATGTCTATTTGTTCACACGAGTTTAAATAAGATATTTCGCGTTTTTTATTTAAATGTGTTATCCCTAGAGAAATTATTACATGAACGGAATTGAGGGTTTTACAACGAAAAGCTGTGTAATAAAGACTAGGTGTCTCTCTATGCAAAACTTGGGTTTAAACCGTATTAAAATGTGCATTTAATGTTGGTTACAAGTTTTTCCCGTGTATTTTTTATGATGTATATTTTTTACAACATTATTGATTAAATAGATTTTATACACATGTTTATTTTACAATAAATGATATTTTACTAAACCCACCCTTTTTTTGTTAATAAAAAACGGTGTTTACACTTTACCAAAAGGAAGTATTTAAGGAAAGCAAGTCCAGCTTATCGTCGTAGATTAGACACGAAGTACTGAAAGGATTTTACATTACAATACATTACTGTAATTAACATGTTTTATATCTATACTAGTTGTGCCCGCTATTCCACGCGACTTCGTGTATAGTGAGTCGGAGTAGAATTTTTAATTATTTAGGCTGTTTTATTAATTTATGGAAGAGCGTATTTAAGGCCAATCTATGTTGTGAGCACTCAACTCACATTACTCCTACTCTAACTCCCACTCTCACTCCCACCACCACCACTACTCCCACTCCTACTCCCAAAAAGCCAAAGAAGAAAGGTCATTGCTCTAGCTTCAAAACCACGAATTTCCATACAAACTTCTTTTCTCAGGCTCTAAAATATTTGTGCACCAAATTTCATTTAAACCAGTTCAGTAGAGTTAAAGCCGGACAGACAGACAGAGTTACTTTCGCATTTATAATATTAATATACATTATATTTAATATACCTATCTATTAAAACCTTATTTCCGATTAAAACTTATATAAATAATCTATTGCTTCCCAGGGATTCGAACCCAGGACCTCTCGTGCTTAACGCAATCCTGGCAATACGTTTAACCATTTAACTACAGAGGTAAAATGCCTGTTTATAGATATATTTTTTAAACACCTACAGATTAAATATTGCTTACAATGTCTGTAAAGTAAAATAGTCTGTATGTAAAACTAATGAGTAATTTTCTTCATATATGATTTTCATTGAGTCATAGAGATGCGAGTCATCTGCGACTCTACTAGAATTTCAAGTTTATTGCCAGGAAGTTAATGTATGCCCACAATTTACTAAGCTACGTGTTCAATGACGATAAGTCAACATAGGTGTGTAAATAATAAAGACACCTCATTAATATCAAAAGTTACACAAAGTTCCTAAATTGTGTTTAAACTGATTTTTTAAGCATTACATTATTTGCTAGATGTAATGCAACTCCAAAAAGTATTATTTTTGAAGTCTGATACATATTGGCTACGCTGCTCCGCCTAGTGACGTCATGACCATTGGCCATTGGTGTAGTTCTGTCATATGATCTACAATCAACGTGTACTAATGTACTAAACACTTGCATTTTAACAGTATTTGAAGTAATAAAAAACTAACGAAACATTTACAAGACGGTCGCGGCCATTTTTAAGATCATTAAAAGAACTTTGGTAAATACGTTTTTGAGGCGGCTAAAAATCATTCAAGGATATTTTTCTCCGATTTCTCATATAGCTTACTTTGCTCCCATTGATCGTAGCCTGATATTTTACAGCCGAAGCCTTCCTCGATTCAACTCGAGTCCAATCAACGTAAAAATATTTTTTCACTTCGACCTAGAAGTTTCAAGATGAGCGCGTTCAAACAAACAAACTCTTCAACTTTATAATACTAGTATAGTAGTATTGTATGTAGTTTACGTGATTCAATCATTTTGACTTTGGCCCGTCGTTTCTGATGCTTTGCAGAAGACGTGATCACAGGGAGACGCTGCGGGCCGAAGTTCAAATAACTTTTAAATAAGTTTAACTAATATATATTGCGTTTTAAACCATTAAAGTGTATTATTTAAATGTGGACTACTCGCGTAAACTACAGACAGTATTTACGTGTAATAAAACTATTTTCCTCCGTTTAAAACATGTAATATATTTAATATTCTATTCTATTTACGTCTCTTCCCCAGGTCGACGGGTTATATGATAAAGAGTTATAATTCAAAACACGTTTGGTTGATACGTAGCTTTGCTAAAACAATATTTTCAGGCCACTTTCACATTGTTATAAGCGTCTATTGGAATATTTTTCTATTCTCTAGGTCACGACGGCTTACGGGTGTTTGAAACCATAAATCATAGACAAATAAGGTTGCTCTGAGTCAGACGTATTTTTTCAATTATTATCATGCACAACAGTAGTCCTGCGTTACTTTCTAAACGTAACTGTGTAACGATGTTGTGGAATAAATATTTATCATTTCTCCAAAGATAATTGTATGATATTAATGTTTATTTTTATATACAAGATTCAACAATCTGCACTAGAGATACAAGGCTATGTTGGAGCCGGTGGGAGTCGAATCAAGGACCAGATTTCATCCACACATCGCTACTAATAATATTGTTAACATTTATTTATTTATGCTGCCATTTCGGATAAAATCCAGCTATATAACATCTTAACAAGATACGCTATAGACCTATCTGGACTTTGGATATTCGGAAGTCCACAGACTAAGCTGAAACGCGTTTAAACTTGCCGGATTTTTCATTTGTGGACTGTGGTTTGTGACGTTTCGATATTTCTTCTTCTTCTTCTCGTGCTTCTCCATTACTAAAGGTTGGCCGTTAGCTTTTGAAAGCGACTGGTGTCCTTTGCGAGATGTAGCAATGAACTGATATTCCTACCGCCTATTAATAACCAGATTTAAATAAAACACTTTAACGGTTTAAAACGCGATATATTAGTTAAACTTATTTGAAAATGATTTTAAACTTCGGCCCGACGTTTCGGATGCTTTGCAGCAGCCGTGGTCACGGAGAGACGTCGGGCCGAAGTTTAAAATCAAATAAGTTTAACTAATATATCGCGTTTTAAACCGTTAAAGTGTTTTATTTAAATGTGTACTACTCGCGTAAACTATAGACAGTATTTAATAACCAGATTTTCAATCAAAGTCCAACATGGTCCAGAAAAATTGTAAATTGATTTGTACGCGGTGGGGATCGAAACCCACGATCAGGCCGATTATTAGCCATACCTAGTTAGCAATCAACTCGTCAATAGTCCCTATGCGTTAATAATTATCTGAACTAGCTCTAATGTATTTGAATTGTGATATAAAACTTTAAATAGTGTTCTATCGCTTACATTGCAATAGAAAAAAACTCGGCTAAACATAGAGGAAACGACTCATATAGTCGGGAGAGAGAGAATTTTGTATTTTAACGTGCGTAATATTTCGGAATGGTTATGGAATAAATTTACACGATATCTCTAATTATTAGTACAATAGCACTATGTGTCGTTTCTGTCGTATAGTCCACTATTTATTTAATGCGATATCGTACACAAACATGATAATTCATATTGTCTTTCTTCCGTTCCACCGTCTTACGAAGTTTTGCTTAGGTATCCGACGTAGTTTCAACATTCTCGATTCTTGTAAAACCTTCTTTTCACTTCGAAAAAGGAGATTGCTGTTGTAATATTCCATTATCGATGATGGTGAAAACTTTACAGCGTGGTAGCTTCTCTTCCGGATCAATAGAAAACCTACGTAATGTATTGGGCTCGTTGGTCTAATGGTAGCAACGTATGGCTAAATAACAACAGGTCCTGAGTTCGAGTTTTTAAATTTGTAATTTTTTTGAAACATATTGGACTTCGTGTGTAGACCAACTATCGTCCACGAGTGAAATAACCGTGTAGTTTAATAGCGTTTGGGTTTCAGTGAATTCCGAATATCCACAGTTAAAATAGGTTGGCTGGCGTTAATCATCTACCATCAATGTATGTATGTACCGTCTATGCTCCTCTAAAGTAAAAAGTCTTATCGACCTTACTGCGGGCCGGTCGATGCGAACGGCGACGCGTCCAACGACCATAACAAATATGTATATAGCGACTACCGTCTCTCTCTAACAAGCAACTAATGAGAGAGGCGAACGGCGAAGTGTATCGGGCGATTCGCGCGGGCGACGGGCGGCGCGTCGGTTCGGCGAAACAAAAGCATACATCAGTACGCCGCGAGCCACCAAGTCGAGCGGTATTCGCGGCGACTCGACGGCGACTTATGACAAAATGGATACTGAGACATTTATCGCTGAGGTATTGGCCAGGCCAGCTATATGGAAGTTGAGCGACCCGCAACACAAGTATAAACACATAGTGAAGAGATTGTGGAATGAAATAAAAAAGAAGTTTCCAAATAGCGAAGGTGAGTCGCAGTTTTATCCACAGGCGTTTATTAGTCAATAGGTTACAAAGTCGAATGATTTCTTAAGTCTATAGGGCGTAATGTAGGTCTTGTATACTTCGAGGATTCGTCCTTTAAGGGAGATCTAGATCGCATGATTAGATGGTTAAATATTAAATTGTAATAATCAGCTTTCGCTTTTCGCACATTTATTACAAACTTACACTGCTGTCCCCCGTGACCACGGCTGGTGTAAAGCGTCTGAAACGTCGAGGCGTAGTTAACTTAAAAAATAAGTTAACTTGTATATTTTGCGTTTTAAACCGTCAAAAGTGTTTTATTTAACCTTATACATTATTCAGTTAGGTCTTATTAATTCTGCGTAGGTATTTAGTGTCTGTTTCGGTTCTTTTGAGGGAATTAGGAAATCAAACCACTTATCAGGCATAAGTTGTCGGAAGCCTTGTAAAACACGGTCTACTGGTCACAGTCGCTCACATTAATTCCTATGGATAAGAAAATAAACATCGATTTGGGAGCTTTAAACGTTTTGTGTACAATCACTATGTCTGTATTTCTATATGTTAGCCCTCAAACTTAAACTTATTTCAGTTGGCGATCTTAAAAAGAAATGGAAGAACCTCAGGGACATTTACAGGAAGGAGTTAAAAAAAATACCTAAGTCACGGTCGGGCGATCCGTCCTTAGATTATGAACCATCGTGGAAGTATTTTTCGATGTTAGGTTTTTTGAAAGACGAGTGTATGCCTCTGATAGCTGAATCAAACATGGACGAAGGTGACAGTGAGGTAGCTGAGAACGGAAATAATGATATCACAATTGAGGTTATAAATCCACTCAGATCACCATCTCCCACACGTACATCTTCACCGATAGAGCAGTCTCCATCTCTTTCTCAAAGTTCAAGAAACAAGCGGCAACAACAGGACCTACAAGACATTCGAACACAGTATTTGGAGGTCAGAAAGAAATTAAAACTGTTAGAAAACGATATAGCTAAAACTCTATCAGTTGACATTGAGAAAAAGTCGGATGACTACTGTTTCCTAATGAGTATTTTGCCGGAAATGGAAAAGCTGCCGACGGTACAAAAAATAAGGCTAAGGAATAAAATTAACGAGGCACTCCTAGAAGAAATTAATGTCACAATGTACGGTCAACCTTTTGGCCAGTATGATTACTCGAGTCAATCGAATAATCATAGTTTTAAAAACGAATAGATCATAGATCATTGAATAAAGGCTGATTACAAAGTTATTGATTGCTTTATTGTATATAATAATGATTACCTATCTGTGTATAAATAGGTAACAATCTAATTTAATATTAAGCCCAATATCTCAGGGACTAAATACTGATTCGAACTAATTCTTCTTATGTGTAATAGAATATTTCAAAAAAGTTTTATACATCACGCCGTGATTAATAGAAACGAAGAAACAGTGGAGACTGAAAAAAGGGGAACCATTATTCTAAAAAATAAACAAATATGAAAGAATTCTTGTTTCTAAACGATTTAAAAAGGCCTCGATATTTAGTTTTTCTGGGGAAAGCGTGGATTTGAGAAGATTTCAAAAAACAAAATTTGATGTCCAGAATAACAATTCTACGCGGACGAAGCCGCTGACAAAGCTAGTGTAAGTATGTAAGTGGTACGTATAATATACAGCGTTAATGATGGTCTAATTAACATTGACATTTGACCGCGCTAAACATATGAATGACTATTGTAGTTAATTAACTGTTATAAGCGATATGTAGACCGTACCCATTCATAGAAAAGTTCATATCAATAAATATATGCGTTATAACTTCTTATGTCCTGGTACCCGAAATATGAGAAACAATGGCGGTAGAATATCACCACTCCTTCAATAGTTCCCACTGCTGGAACACGATCATTATATTGTTATGGTATCTGTAATTTTGGCTTTTATTAACACATGTTATATGGGAATAACATTTTGGATGAGCTCGCGGGTCTATGAATGGCTAATAGGTCTTGGGCCCGATTCCCACGATGTCCATCATGTTTCTAATTCATTAAATTTTTTAAACATGTTGACTTTGTCTGAAAATGTGGATATGAAATAGGTAGTGGAAGTATCGAAATTCCGTATCGTTAAGCCGTGAATTTTAACCCCGTTTCGGTTTCACGCGGGGGTATTTTCAACTATCCTCATTATAAACCTCTCTATAAAAAAACTTATGACGTCATTGAAAACTTAATACCTAAATAAATGCTTATGTGATTCATTTTTATTTAACCGCAAATAAAATTAGCGAATTTTATTATTTCCCTGTCAAAGAAAACAACGTTTTCCTTATGACTAAGCCCAAAACCATCGGATGAAACTTGTCGATGGCTGTATTTGATACATACGATGTTCTATTTATGTTATAAACAATTATTTCTATTGACAGAGGAGGACAGACAATTGTAGGGTTGATGGAAAGGGAAATATTCCAGCTATGTAATATCTAAATAAAAGCCGCTGTTAACCCACTTTGGCTTTGAACATTCGGAAATCCACAGGCTGAAACGAAAAGGTGGGCGGCGGCTCGTGAGTCGGTATTAATTTATTCCTACCACCCATTTGATGTCCTAATAGGCAGACGAAGTCCAACATGTTTTAGAAAATGTATATCGATAAGAAACATTTTCGACTCCGTCACTCATTCACGTAGGATCTGTTTATTTTATGTTTTAAACCTATCTATATCTATATACTAATATATGTATAAAGCTGAAGAGTTTGTTTGTTTGAACGCGCTAATCTCCGGATCTACGGGTTAGAATTAAAAAAATATTTTTGGGTTGCTTAGAGCATTGGTCGAAGAAGGCTATAAGCTATAAAACATCGCCCTGTAACGAACACAGGCGAAGATACAGCGAGAAATGTAAAAAAAAATGGTAAAATTATTCATCATCAGGTTTCCGAGGCGTACGCTGCAAGAACGATTCAAGATACCCAAAAAATATACACGGAAGAATGATTCCTTTTTAAATGATCTAAAAAAAGTCCGTGACGCTATGTGTCTATCTTTTAAGATTAACTTAAAAGAACGACGGTAACGGACGCGACCGACGTCATGGGTAACCGCTTAAGTTTATAAAGATGAAGGGGCTTGCAAGAACGCCAATTCTCGCGGACGAAGTCGCTGACCCAACTAGTAATGTATTTAAATGTGTAAAACATATTGTTTGACTTTTAATTAATACAAATTGAATTTTAAACTGTTAGGTCTTTTTGGATGTGTAACTATCGTGTAAATATAGAGAGATATATATATATATTTCTTACACCTTACTGGGTGTTAAAGTACTATGTATGTGTCACCTAATTCAATGTTCAATGAAGTTATTTAAGTTGAGGTCGCGGCGATAACATTACAACAATAAACTATAGGAAATTAGGTTTCATTTTCCATACTAGCTTTTCCGTTTGGCTCTTTGGTTTAATGGTAGCAATGTATGGCTAACAATCGGTCGTGGGTTCGAACCCCACCAGCTCAAACATGTTTCTAAAAATTTTAGTAATGTGGTCAAGTATCTCCACGTTACCACGGCTGCAAAGAATCCGAAACGTCGAGCCGTAGTTAAAATAGATTGCAAATAAATTAACTTGTATAATGTAAGTATGTTTGGAGGTAAAAAGGGGAATTTTTTAAATCGTATAACAATTTTTTATATCATAGAGGAGGACAGACGATGTAATGTGAAAATGCCCCAGCCACACATATTTCAACAAGGTGACTTTTATGGTTTCGGATATCCACAGACTAACCAAAACGTAATAATACTTCGCGGCTATTTCATTTTTAGACAGAGGTTCGTGACCCGGATGAATAGTCGATATCACCATCCATTAAAATTAATAATATATTTTGCGTTTTAAACCGTTAAATGTATTTTATTTAAATCTATAGTTCACTTCTGTTATTGGGTCTGGCCATGCTTTAAGTTGCAGACTTCAAATCGTTTAGGAGCAGTTCACACCTCTCTTCCATAGGATGATCACATCATTTTAAAAGTCCCCCTATGGCGTGATCTAAGCCGCAACCACACATTAGTAATGGCATAAATACCTCAAACAAACACATTTATTTTCAAGAAAGTATAAATATAAATGCATTGATTTACCACGACCGCAATTAGATCATTTACTTGCATAAATAAATATGACTAGTGAAATGTAAGTAATAAGTTGATTCTTATTGGTTCATTACACATTATAAAGGAAACGTACGTAAGGAATCATATTTGAGGCTGCTAGAGGCAGAGTGGTCTATTAACAAACAATAATTTTCAACAAAGAGGAGAATATAACTGCGCAATAACCTTGGAAATTAATTTGTACTATTATTTGTTTAAGAATTATGCTAACAATAAAAAAAAATAACTTAAGTCATAAAATTGCAATTAAGTTACTGCCTTAATTAAATTAAACACTTTGAAGACGTTTGAAAACGCGAAAAATATTAGTTATATTTTAATAGTTAGTTAAGTTTATAAATGACGGGTTCGTTTGTATAATGCAACGGGTCGTGGGTTTGGTCCCGTCGTTCTTCAATAATCCTAAAATATAGATATTATATACTGTCAACGGATATTTTTTGAATCATTTAAAGTGGAATTCTTCTTTCACACATATGTTTTAGTATTAAGAAACAGTTAAAAATGAATAATATTCCCCGTTTTTGCCACATTTTCCTTTGTTTCGTTGCAATTCGTCGCATCGTAATTTTTATAGCCTTCCTCGATAAATGCTCTAACCAACACAAAAATAAATTTTCAATTCGAACTTGTAGTTCCTGAGATTAGCGCGTTCAAACAAGCAAACAAGCTCTTTAGCTTTATAATATTAGTATAGATTTGTTTCAGTATCCCAGAAATAAAAGTTGTATACATTAGGTGTTTGTTGTAAATACTTGCATACTGTGGTATGTTACAAGCATGCCTTGGAAAATTGTTTAAATTCTAGACATAGAAAATGTCATCCCTAGTCCTTTTCTGTAATCGTGATAAGCAAAAAGTGTATGAAGACAATAAAATAGTCTCAAAGCCTATGGTGAAGTCATAGTCACCTAGTTTTAGATCGGTCAGATAAATTTTAGCTCTACGGTTTTGGTTTAGGGTCGAAATTCCAGTGAACTTATCCATGGCAGCTTAAAGCTCTAGTTACGTTTCGTTTGTGTGCGGGAGGCAGAATTATAAATGTGTATTATGGGATAATGTTCAGAAATAGTGATGTTTGTTCATTATATCGATGGTTTTTCATTGTCACAGTACTTCCACTTTATTCAATATATTTACGTATATGTATGTATAGGTTTTTATTGCGTTTGAATAATTGTACAGTAGATATGGTTAAACTAAGTATCAAACGTTGATAGAGTGAAAAGTTTAATAGTCTTAATGTAAGTTTTAAGTTATATTATCTAGGCTTACTCATCAAATGTATGTTTAATGTAATATTATAGCTAACAACTGACTGTAAGACAAGAAACAATAAGGCAAATAATTATTTAAGTTTTATGAAATGTAGGAATATTAATTCCATTTTCTTATTTTTTTATTATTTTGCGTAGTTCGTATACCTCATTTGTTCCTTACGTTACAAATACTATAACAAACCGAAAAAACAAAATGTTTATTATCTTCGTCATAAAAAACTTTTAACATTATTATTTACCTTCAACAAGTTTCTTGTATTACTTAGATACTAGAGACAAAGTTTATTAACTATACTGTATAAAATGTTCGTTCCAATTTACGTAGAGTGAAAACTTTAAAATACAGTTATAGAACATCGAAATAGCTAAAAAGTAAAACATTATATAGAATACTACAGTGAGACATTCCCAATATTTACATATCACAATTTCATAGATAACTTATCGATATGAAAATTGCCGTCCGTCCTTCACTACTACTCACACATCGACGCGCCGTGTTTCGTACAGCTAGAGATGTAAGCATTCATTGCAGGCGTCGGAAAATAAACGTGAACGGTCCGCCAGTCGAGTTTTCGAGTTCTGAGAGGGAATAGTGTTCGAAGAACCGGTACGTGGATTTCGAAAGAAGTTATTTTAGTTAAGAATTCGTTATTTAAATTGTCGCGTTCCATTTTTTTTCAAATCCGTGCGCAAGAGTGTGTGTATCGTAGCAATTTGTGTGCATTTTGTGTTCTGGATGCTCGTTTTCTTTTATTTGACGTCTGAGTTTTGCAAAACGTAAATAGCAACGGTGCGGTAAGGAATTATTTTAGGCTAGATGCAGCGAGTGGATTTTACGACCATCGCTTTTAAGATATAGAGCTAATGTCTGGTTTTATTTATTTTATCGCCGTATTAAATCGGGATTTAATTGAAAAGTTTGATGGTTTGTGCGAGTTTTTAGCGCTTATTGGAAATAGCTGATCTGAACTCAGCGTTAATACGCGATTGGAAGTAAAAAAATTTATAGCCAAACATATTACGATATTTAAAAAAGGGCGCATTATAAAAAATACCTAACAATACGCGAAATATAAGTTACGATGATTATCTAGTCACATATTTCTATTGATAAAATGTTCTTTTTACATTTATAATTTTAATGCTTAGAATTTACATACAAACTAGTAACAGAAAAAAATTCAAGAATTAAATTTGAATAACTTAAATTCATACTTTTTTAAATACTATGTGAGTAGTACATATTTAAATAAAACACTTAAACGGTTTAAAACGCGATATATTAGTTAAACTCAGTTTGCATATCATTGTCTTTCGGGCTGTTCGGCCGATGTGAGCGAGAAGAGGTTCTCGACGTTTCGCCATCACGTGTGGACGGCATCTTTAGGAGATGTTAACTAATCTATTGCTCGAAGAATTCAATTTCGTTAAGTGTTTTATTTAAATCATACTTTTTTTATTTATTTCAAAATAGGCACATACTTAATTTATTACTTCTGCTATTATTATAATATTTGCAAGTCCGAAAACCGCCCCTATGGCCTAATAGTTGAGCCGCTAGTGCAATGTATTGAGTGCCAGGTTCTGGGTTCGTATCAATGGGAAAACAATAAATTATTTCATCCACGCAGGGCACAGTTACGTATAAATAACATCGCTCAATGAATCTAACAAAAAATGTATCAGCGCCATGATTGAACGATTTCACTTTTATAGCAACAAATACCACAGTTAACATAAAAAGTATCTTTTATAAACGAGTTTTCTCTCTTCATTTTCTATCAATTTTCATGCTAAGTCCAACTTATGGTAGTCAGGATTATCATCACATAAAGATGCTATGAATATGTTAACCTTCGAATGTCAATATAATATTATTCATAAGCTTATTTGATATCCAAATATACAGAAAGACCGGCTTGGTGAAGGAGTAAAAAAAGACATTTGCTAAGTATGGTCTGTAAGCAACAATTAAATAAAACACATTTGACGGTTAAAAACCGAGCTACTTATTTATAATTTCAACTCAACTCCCCGTAAATTTTTTAAAATAACCCAACCTTTGTCTTACATAATTCTTCTATTGCCTTCACCTCAGAATAATTCAAGTTGTATACGTTACACACATTTCAATTATCTTCTACTATTAAAACGGAATATAGGTATCGTTATTTCATCTAAACATTGTCTGTAAAATCTTCTTTCTATTTTCTCCAATATAAAACATTTGATGGGCTCAATTCCTCCATTATCATGAAAGATAAATATAATAAACTTACTAATTATCAACCAATAACAACTTTGTGACATTCCTTCACTAACTACTAAGTAAAACTGTTTAAAAGTGTTTATCTAATGTTTACTACTCACGTAAACTGTTACTGTCTAGTTAACTAGCTGTGCCGGCGACTTCGTCCGCGTAGAACCGTTTTCGCAGTGTACGCAACGGAAACCCACAAATTTTTTCCCGTTTTCCCCAAATTTGCCGATGTTATATATGCTATAACCTGCCTCGACAAATAACTTATTCGGTACCAACAATTTTTTTGCAGTTTCTACCAGTAGTTCCGAAGATTGGCGCGTTCAAACATTCAAACAAACAAACTCTTCAGTTTTATATATTAGTATAGATAGATTTCTTTTTTTGCTTTAAAATACTTTTCCTATTTTATAAATAGATGATGCCTCCATAATAATATTAATCGGAATACTGTCTCATGCACGTTATCATCGTATTACCGCATCGTATTGCATAAAACATGCAAATACAATGCAAAATATATGCATTTGCAAATTGCTATTGTACAATTTGCATAACCTTGACATTCGTTATTATCTGTGCTATTGGCGCGCAAATCACTTTATTTTTTATGACTCATGCGCAGAGAAATCGTACCATTTTAACGTTTCATTAGGAGAGTTTTTGCATTTCAATTCGTCTCTCATTGATATGTTCTTGTTTGACATTCATATTGATTCTGATAATATTACACTTTCACGGAGAATGAGGGGTCTTATAGCTAGAAGCAAAGTTTCGGAAAAACAAAACACTATTAACGGTTGGTAACGCGAAACATATTGCTTAATCTAGTTTAAAATTTGACACAGTTTTCTTTCATGTAGAACAAAAAAATGTACTTTAAAAGATATTTAAGAAGAGCCACTTCCCGTTTCCCACACGTGAGATGGGGTTTTGTATCATTTATCGTTTTATTTACAGATAAACTAGTTTGTCAAACTTCTATTTTCGGCTCGATCGAAACAGTTTATATTTTTCGTGTTAGCCAATCAGTAATTTATTTTTTTATTGTTTATATTCTATGTTGTATTAAGTTTATACAGACATACTTAATAATATAAAATACATTTAATATTCACGACGTACAATATGCTTTAGAAAAACTAACCCTTACTCCTGGGAATGTCTACGTGCGTGACTGACAAATATATGTCAAAAATTGTCGTATCTTATCGATAGTCGATAAACGTATTATCTAAAAAGGTAAATGTGTCTGATACGAGTTATAATACGGGCTACTACAAGTAAATCTTGTGATTTTTCGAGTTCTAGAAAAATAGAAAATAAATAGATGTAAATTATAAAACATATCTATTTTTATGAAAGACGTTTGAAGGATAATTCTACTATAAAAGATAATATTATAAATTATGAATACGTTTGTAGCGATCAAGTGCATATTTCTGTAAACTAGTTGATAAGATATTGTCTGTAGTTTACGCGAGTAGTACACATTTAAATAAAAAACTTTAACGGTTTAAAACGCAATATATATAGGAAAACTTACTTGAAAATGATTCTTAACTTCGGCCCGATGTTAAAAATATTTTTAAAATAAGTTTAAGTAATATATATCGCGGTTTAAGCCGTTAAAGTGTTTTATTTAAATAAAAATATCTCATAATTTCTTAATAGCTAAGTTAATAATACAATGATTATTAGGTAAGGATTTTCGTTATGTAACTCATGACCCTAATAATATCTCAAAATTTGAATTAACGGGATTAAACGTGCTCTCTAGCCGCACTTGTCAAAAAAACCAAGCAGCTGACAACCGTGGGAGATCATAGCCATCAGTTTTTAACCTTGAAATTTAATACAAAAAGACATTTAGCAAACACGAGGGGCGCAAAACAATGACTCTTCAAAAAAATATATATGAAAGGTGTCAAAATCTCGGGGGCCGGGACCTTGAATTTTTCGAAAAGGGTTCGCGGTACGTGTTTATAATACGAATGATTGAACGAATGATTTGAATGTGAATGATTTGAACGATGAAAGAATTGGGAGCGAATTTGAATATTATGACAATTGGTTTTTTGTTCACGTTCGAAACGGGCGAAGGAAACGACGAAATCCGCTACATCGGCAGTCGATAGTATTACTTTTTGCGTTGGGCGGCGACAATTGAAATTTTTTCGACGAAACGCTATCAACAATCGACTTTTTTGTGGGGCTATTGGAACGCATTCGTCTTTTCTAGGTGAATCTACTTTGGAACTAGATAATTTCACGTTAATAAATACACCGTTTTTCGCTACATTTTTTTGTAATTTCCTCAAATTAAATCTTACATTTGTGATATTCTGGTGACAATTAAGTATTTTTATTTGTACGTTGTACAAATAAACAGTTGTGCAACATATATAAACTATTTTAATCAGTATGTTGACGACAAACAGATGTAATGTATTAGTTTTAAAGCTTATTTATCGGTATTTGAAAATGTTTATCGTAGTACTGTTCATAATTCCGTCGATTGTACAATTTGTATACAAAGCTAAACCAGCTGGACTTAACGTGTATTTTTCATATAACATATATATGTCTTCTGTATAAGAAATTAGAAAGCCCATAAAAGCAACCCTTATACGGTAAATCGTTCAATATCATTCGTTCAGTTAAACTGACCGCTTTCTACGTGGAAATCAATAAAAGATGATCCCATCAGGTGGTATTTGTCCCTCTGACATACAGCTGCAAAGAAAGCCAACCTCATTCACTTCCGCGGCTCATTATCATAACCAGCTCATCTCGTTCAGGAACGAATGACCACAAAAACGAATGATGTCAATGACAACGTCCAAAAGGCGAAAAACCGTAGCTGCATACAATGAATTTGTAGATACTTTAATGATAGTGGAAAGAGTTTTTTGTCGAACATAATCGATGGCAATTTAATGCTGATTATCGGCCATTTTATTTTATTGGATGTTAAAACTCTGTCAAGTCGTCGTAAATTATTATATAGTGAACTAGCTAATGTATCAAACATGTAAGTTCTGACTACTAGAGTAGGAACTTCAGGGATATACTATGATCTCTATCAGGTAGTACATCTTCTTGCCTGTAAATAAAAGAGATCACTAAAATGTCTCCTGTTAGGGAAATAGGAATACCAACGGGGTCACTTTATTTCCCAACTTTTAAATATTGATATAAAGCTTTCGGAGCGGGTAATAGTTACATGGTACTCCTACAAAATACCATAAAATTAAGCTTTTAAAAAGTAGCAGTTGACGATTACTTCCTTGCTTTCAGATTTTTTTGATCTTATGTGATTATTGGTTTTCCAGGATGAGTACTTA